GACCTGAAAACCTTCCGACTTGAGGTCCTTCCGTCTTGAGGACCTACCGACCTGAGGTCCGTCCGTCCTAATGACTTTCCGTCTTGAAGACCTACCGACCTGAAGACCTTCCGACCTGAGGTCCTTCCGTCTTGAGGACCTACCGACCTGAGGTCCTTCCGTCCTAATGACTTTCCGTCTTAAGGACCTACTGACCTGAAGACCTTCCGACCTGAGGTCTTTCCGTCCTGAGGACCTACCGACCTGAAGTCCTTCCGTCCTGAGGACCTACCGACCTGAGAACCTTCCGTCCTGTATTTTCCTTAGAAATAAATAAATAAATTTATTTTCCTTGATTTCCTCACGGTGTCCTTCAGCCAGTTCAATCAACCCTATTGCCAGGCCCATTCTTCTTTTTTACCTTGGGCTTTTAACCTAATTCTAAATTTCGTACGTAACAATAATAATAAGAATAAAGCCTGTTAAATAGAAAAATATTGTATTACTTAGTTTTGGCATAGGGTTAAACCTCTCTCCTGGCTCTATTAAAAAATCAATTGCAGCAAGAGTCAGTCTGCAATCATGGTCTATTTTTGTCTCTTTCTCTCCTAGAGGTTGTTATATGCAAAGAGAAATTAATGGTTTTTTTTTTTTTTTTTTAAAATAGAAAAATTAAGGGGGTTTTTTTTTTTTTTTTTTTTTTGTTTGGATGACAGTCACACTAGGCGAACTATGTATGGCAGATGATTTGAGGCGTCGGGGGTTTGAACTGAGGTCATGAATCCAACCTCTAAACCACCAGACCATCCATTTTGCATACACAACATGGTGTTTGTTTAGTCATCTGAGTGAGTGTTTTTGTTGTGAGTAGGATTTTGAAAGATTCGTTTACAGCCGGAGAGTTCGTTGAAATGAAGAAAGAAGTTATTGGAGATCAGGAGAGATATCCAGATTCTGAGCAACCTTACCTATTCTATAGTGGTTGTCAGTACGAGCTTGTGACAATGTAACCTTATGAAAGAGTTTTCCAAGATAGTCATTGTAGAAGTATAGGTTGAAGGAGTTGTGATTTATCTATATTATAAAATCAGCACAGATTAGTTGAACTTCTCATGGATTGGTATCTCCAAATGTAGGTCATTTACTGTTTGAACTTTTACGTTCATTCAGTTTGACAATAGACTGTTATAAATGTGATATAACTACACTTCGAACTTCGAGAGTTGACCATATTTGAAGTATTCGAAAGTGTTTGTGGAACACCCCAATCTCCCAATAAACGCTTTAGTTAGATGAAAAATTGAAAATTTTTGCAAAAATTTTTATGTGATATTTTATGAAATAAAAAATATATTTGATACTCCGTATATTTCTAAAAAATAAATGTTGAAGAATAGTAATAAAAATTCTAAAAGTACGTGCGTAAACATAACCAAAATTTTGATACAATGTTTTGAGAAAAAAAATATACTTGAATTTGTAGTTTTTAATAAAAATTAATAATTTAATTTGGATTTAATAATGTGATAAAAAAATATTGCAAAAGGCTTTAATTTGACAAATTCCTCACCATAATGTGTGTGTATATATATGTTGGCTCTATTTACTTGGGTAATTTTCTTTTAGTCATTCTATTTTATTTTGTTTTATTTTATTATTATGCAATCTTTAGTTTTCTTTTTTTTTTTAAAAAAAAAAATAATAATAATACAAATTTTTAAATTGAATTACTATGTAAATACATAACACAAATAAAACATATTCCAATATTTTATGTTACGTTATATATAATATATATATTTCCTCCGTCTTGGTTCAAACGAGCTATTTGAGGTTTTGTAATAGATTAAAAAATAATACTCCCTTCGTCCCACATACCGTGTCTGCTACGTTATAGATACGGTATTTTAGGAAGGGTGTAATTAATAGATAATTAAGAATGTATTAGTGAAAATAATTATCCTATAATATAAATAATTATAAATTAAGATTAAGATAACTAATTAATTTAATTAAAATTAAAAAAATAAATTAAAAAATTTAAAATGAAATTAAAGTGTGTAATCATTTTCCAAAAAATGAAAGTGACATGGAATGTGGGACGGACAGAAACGGCAACGTGGACATGGTATATGGGACGGAGGGAGTAGTATTTTATTAGTTAGTAAAAGTGTGCAGGTTTTGACATTTTTGCCTTTTGACTTTAAGTAAAAAATAATTGTATGTGCAATGGTATATTTGTACTTTAGGTAAAAGTTAAAGATATTTTGGTATCGGTGTATAATTACTTTTACTAAAATAGAAAATACATACTTTGGAGTGAGACAAAAGAAAATAGTAAAAAAAAGGTACTTTGAGTTAGAACGGACGGAGTATTATGTTATGTAGAAATATAAATTGTCTATTTTTATTATATATACAGACCGAGTCAAATTAATTTAATATTGATTTAACCTAATCAACTGCACACCAAAGTCAAATTTTACAAATTTTATTTGACACTATGAATTTCCTTATTTGCTTAAATAATACTTCTTTCGTCCAAATTCAAAGTATCATTTTAATTATTTTTATTTATTTTACTTCAAATCTCTTTTCTATTTTAGTAATCATTCACCAATATCAAAATATCTTTAATTTTTACTTAAATTACAAATATACCGTTACACGTACAATCAACCTAAAATAATATATTTTATATTTTTAATACTTCCTTCGTCTCATAATAAAGTATTCATTTTTATATTTTAGTCTGTCCCATAACAAAGTATCTATTTTCATTTTTAGTAACTGTACTATCTACCTAACATTACAAATACCCTTACAACTTGCAATATATTACACAAATGTCATTATTTTTATATCACACAATACTAATAAGGTTATTTTAATCATTGCTACTTTATTCATACTATATCCCAATATAATACTAATATTTCAAAAACTCCATCCAAAAAATAAACAAATACATAGTTATGGGACGAAGGGAATACAATTTCTTATATTACAAAAAAAAATAATAATTTCATCTCACAACATTCGACGAACAAAATCATTGTCTTTAAAATTAAAACTAAAATGATAATATGACACTCCTTATCCTACTAAAATTTACTCTCTTCAACATTAAAATCTATGTTCACTTTTTTTTAATTATTATTATTGTTATAAAAAAAATATTTATTTTACTTTTAATTAAAAAAAAAATCTTAATTTTTTGTAAAAGATAAAATAATAATAATAATAATTTTATTATTATTATTATTAAAACTCGTATTAAACATTAAAGCATATATTTAGATGGCCAAATAAGTAATATTTTTTAAAAAAATTTCTTGATATTGCATAGATGCATCAATGATCATTGGATCCCTATACGTACATTATATATATATATATATATAACCTATTATCTAGGTGAAGATAGACATCATGTGTTGTGATGAATGAGTATGATTTGATTTAGTTTAATTTAATTTAATTTTAAACTTATTATAGGGAATAATTGTGCCTAGTTAGATTTATTTGTCATGTGCTTAGCCTCACTTACCAATGCCACCTTTTATTTTCTTTCAATAAATCACAATAACAACTAATTACATGAAATTATGTAAATTAAAATATCATTGACATGTGAGGCTAAAGTAAATTTTCAAAAATTTATTCTATTCTTACTATTGAGTTTGTACTTCTTATTTTGTTTCAAAGTTGATTTCTTCGTGTAATAAATTTTTAAGATAATTTCAAAATGTGTAAGAAGTAGAAATTAAAATGTGGATATTGAAGAATGCAAAATAGACAAATGATCTTTTATAAACCCATAATTCGTACAAGATTTTCAATAATAATAATGAAAAAGATCATATATATATATATATATATATTTCCTCTATCCGGCTAAAATGTATTGGTATGGCCGGGTATATAAATTTTAAAAAATAAAAATATTTTAATATAAAAATAAAATTTATAAGAATAGTTTGAAATTTTTATTGAAGAATATGTTAAATTAATAGTATGTATACAATGTAATAAAAATGAAAAAAAAAAAAAAACTATTATTCCTTAGATGTTAAATTAATATGTTCATTTTATCATTTTAGTTTGTACATAAAAAAATATATATATATATATCTTACATTATAGTATGTAATAAGATAGTTCAACCATTTTTAAATTTTTATCTACTATTTTACACATATTTTTTATCTACATATTTTTTACACATCATACTTTCATCCAAAATAACATGTTACTTGTTTTAAATAAATTTACCCTTATAAAACTACAAAACTAATTTTAAAAATATTATTTATGTTAATCTATGTAGCCAACAAATTTAAACACATTTCATTGGAGGGTGCATTATGGTTTTGTTTAGACAAAAAAAAATAAAATAAAATTGGAAGTTTGAGTTTTGAAAATAATAAAAATTAGTATTCAATGTGATATTTGTAATAAAACAAATATATTTGATATGATATTTTCGAAAAATTCGATAATATCAAAATTTCTAAAATTACAGCCGGGTAAAATGAATAGAAAAAATAAATGATATTTGTAAATATAAACACAAATTTAACCTGGAGACTTAAATAGACAATTAAAAACTTTGGGAAACGGAAGAAATATTTAAAAAAAATAAATATAATAATTTTAAATAAAAATATATTTAAATATAATCTTTAAAAAAATGATAAACAAACAAACAAAAAGATACCAACCCTAATAAGTTTTAACGGCATTCATCATTATAATTCAGGAGAATTCGGTTCGGCGGCAGCAGCTTTAACTGTCACGTGCGTCGTATGATCATATGCGGCTGGGCCTATTGGGCCCAGAGTATGTCACGTGCGTCGCAAAAGCCCAATATGAATGGGCCCAATAGGTCCGGCCCATAATTTGAAATAGCATCGGGAACGGTAATTTGAAAGTAAACTACAAAATAAAACTAGCCGTTAACATTTATTATCGTCGTCTGCCAATTTAAATCAATAAGGAAACCCCCTGTTTATCTTCAGAGCTTTTCTTCCTTTCCTTTTTCATCTTCTTCAAGAAAATCTGACCAATAGAAAAGATTTATATATATATATCTATATATCGATTTGATTTCCGCCGCGTATGAGAAAGTGAAAGGAAGTGCTGTTTTTCTGGATCGTTGTCTTGGATTCGTGCGTCAGGTATTCAATTTTGGGGATAATCTATTGAAGTAATTACTTATCGATTTTTTTTGTTTAATTAGATGCGTTGTTGTTGTTAGATTTCTGCTGTTCCTGTTGTAGAAATTTCGAATTTGTGAAATGCGTTTCGATTTTTTGTTGTTGTTCTTCTTTCAGGTGAATCGTGTAGTGATTAGGATGTGATTTTAGGTTTCTTCGATTGATACAAGTTCGTTGCTTCAATTTCCTTAGAGATTCTGGTTATAATTTGTGTTGTTGTTCTTCTTCTTCTTTCAGGTGAATCGTGTAGTGTTTAGGATGTGATTTTATGTTTCTAAGATTGATACGAGTTCATTGCTTAGATTTCCTGAGAGATTCTGTTTATAATGTGTGCATTTTCTGTACTTTCAAATATCAAACCCTAGAAATAAAAATCCTTCTGCTCTTTATCGATTTGCTCTTCTCCATCGAGCTTTGGGAAAAGTATTGATGAATAGATGTTAACTATAAACAGATTTCCATTGAAAAATTTTACGAGTTGTTTTGTCCAAAGCTTCGAATTTTGCGATTAAAACCATAAACAGGTTTTGGTTAAATAATGTAGACTTGTTTTCTTCAAAGCTTTTGAATCTTGCACCATGTGCTCGTTCCATCTTCCATTAGTATCCATAAAGCTTTCATGCTCATTTCCATAGGAAATTTTTTGTTGATCTTCTAAGGATGAATTGATTTAACTGTAAACAGATTCCATTAAAACATTTAATTGTTCTTTTGTTCACAGCTTTGAATCTGAATTCTGTGATTAAACCATAATTTGGAGAAGTTTTGTGCAAAGCTTTTGAATCTTGTGCCGTGTGCTCGTTCGATTCATATCGGTAAAGCTTTCATGTTCAATTCCAGGGAACATATTTTGTTGATCTGCAAAGGATGAATTGATTTAACTATCAACAGATTTCCATTAAAAAGTTCAATTGTTGTTTTGGTTAAATAATTTAGAGTTGTTTTGTGCAAAGCTTTTGAATCAATTTCCACGTGCTCATTCGATTCATATCTATAAACCTTCCATGTTCATTTCCAGTGGAAATATTTTGTTGCTCCGCTAAGGATGACAATGGGGGCGCCGGTGACGCCATCGCCAAGGATCAAGAGGACACCATCGTGTACTCCGGGGGGTCCGAAAGTCAGAGAGGAGAACATTCTGGCGACTGTGCGAATGAGACCACTCAGTTCAAAAGAACTCGCTGCATACGACCTCGTTGCGTGGGACATTGTCGATGAGAACACAATCATCTCAAAAAATCTGTATCACGAGAGGAATGCAGGGTCGTCGTACACATTTGGTATACGAATTCACAATTTATTTGCTACTATTGCGTTGTATTCAGGATTTAACATGTTTTGCAGATAAGGTTTTCGATCCGATGTGCTCTTCTCGGAAAGTATACGAAGAAGGCGCAAGAGACGTCGCTTTGTCAGCTCTAAATGGGATAAACGGTAAGCGTTGAAACGAGAACTATTAGTACAAAAACATATTGCTTACCCTGTCGTTGTAATTAAGCTCGAACGTTTCATCTGCAGCGACGATCTTCGCCTACGGGCAGACGAGCAGCGGGAAAACATTCACGATGAGGGGTATCGCGGAGAATGCAATCAGGGACATTTACGAGCATATAAGAACGGTATGGTTTTGTATCTTTTCGACTATTTCTTCGCAGTTTTGGTAGTAAAAGTTCGATCTTTCTGTAACAGACTCCCGAGAGAGGATTCTTGATCAAGTTCTCCGCTTTAGAGATTTACAACGAAACTGTCGTAGATCTTCTCAATCGAGACTCCGGTGCTCTTCGCTTGATGGACGATCCTGAGGTGAAATCGACTACTAAAATTTACTCGAATCTTCGACTTAATCGCTTATCGAAAAGCGTTATTGGTGTGCAGAGAGGGACAACTGTGGTTAAGCTTACCGAAGAGACCATAAAAGACGATCGACATTTGAAACAGCTTATAAGTATTTGCGAAGGTGAGCGAGCGAACGAGAAATGAATTCGCCGTTTTCTCTTATTAGAAATCGTAATTTATTCGATTCTTCGCTGCAGCTCAAAGGCAGGTAGGCGAAACTGCTCTTAACGATAAGAGCTCAAGATCACATCAGATAATCCGTCTGGTGCGCGCACTGTTTCTACATTGCGACGAGTAGTTTCTTTTATGATTGAGCTTTTAAATCGATTGTTGCCTTTGCAGACCATCGAGAGTAGCCTCCGAGAAGACTCAGGGTGCGTGAAATCGTTTCTAGCAAGCTTGGTACGTATATATATGTTCTCTACACGGTTTCCATTTTACGCGCTTCGTATAACTCTCTAATGTGATCGATCGATTGATTGATCGATGGGACGATTCCAGAATCTTGTAGATCTTGCCGGGAGCGAGCGAGCAGCCCAAGCCAACACGGACGGGGCGAGATTGAAGGAAGGGAGCCATATCAACAAAAGCTTGCTAACATTGACAACCGTAATAAGAAAGCTAAGGTATATATCGAATCGATATCATAACCCGGTTTTAAATACGCGACGACGCAAAATCGACGTGGCTTTCTTCTGCAGCGGCGGAAACAGGAGCGGACACATCCCTTACAGGAACTCGAAACTGACGAGGATATTGCAGACGTCGCTCGGAGGGAATGCTCGAACGGCGATCATTTGCACCATGAGCCCCGCTCTAAGCCACGTCGATCAATCGAGAAACACGCTTCTATTCGCGACGAGCGCGAAGAAAGTTACCAACAACGCGCAAGTGAACATGGTATTCATTCGATCGATCGATCGACGCCTATATGTAAACTCGTTTCCTTTTCGAAATCATCGCTAATTGCCCGTCGCCCTCTCCGTCAGGTCGTCGAAAAGACTCGCTTAATGAAGCAGCTGCAAGAGAAAGTCGCGAGGCTCGAAGCCGAGCTTCAGAGCCCCGATCCATCGGCCTCCTCGTGTCTCACGACTTTGCTGCGTGAAAAGGACTTAAAAATCCAACAGGTATATATCGAATTCATAATTGAATGCTTTGAATCAAGCCCTAATCGCGATTCTTCTCCCCGACCAGATGGCGAAGGAGATCGACGAGCTGAAGCACGAGCTCGAATTAGAGAGAAGCACTCATAAAGAGCGAAAGTTTCCGGCTGTTCCAGACCATCACGGCCCGTGTCCAGCCGCGAAACGTCTCGACTTCAAGACGGGGTTCGACTCGAAAGTCTCGAGAAAAACAAAGAGAAAATCGGCAGCCTCGTCGGGAATGCTGGTCGGCGAAATAAGAAAGCTTGAGATGAGGCAACGCCAGCTCGGCGAAGAAGCCAACCGCGCCCTCGAGCTACTCCACGACGAAGTTTCTTCGCAGCGAATAGGCAGTCAGGGCACCGTCGAAGCGATCGCCAAAATGCTGTTAGAGATCAAACAGCACGCGGCAAATTGCACTCCGGTACAAGTCCAGAACAAAACGACAACGACATTACGAGAAGAGATGGCTCGCCTGAATTCCATCGGCGGCAGCGGCGACATCCGCGCTTTAGAAGAGAAACTCGCCGACGTTCAAAAATCGATCGAAGAACTCGCCACACGGATTCCGACCGGCGAAGACACACCCGAGCCGAAGAATTCGATCAAGAGGAGAAAAGGGCTTCCTTTTTCCTTGAGCAACGCGGCGAACATGAACATGAACATGCCGAGTCTTATCCGGTCGCCCTGCTCGACGACGACGTCGTCGTCTTCTCACCAAGTGATCGACAACGAGATCGAAAACCGAGCTCCCGATCATGCAATTATCCGCCAAAAAAGGGAAGAAAAAAACTACAGTCGAGAGGCTGCTTCGATCAACATGAAGAGAATGCAGAGAATGTTCAAGAAGGCGACAGAGGACAACATTCAGAGCATAAAAGCCTACGTTACCGAGCTCAAAGAGCGCGTCGCGAAGCTTCAGTACCAGAAGCAGCTTCTCGTCTGCCAGGTAATAATAAAACTCATATATATTCAATACATTGTATCGAATATATATATATATCGGTAAAGAGTTTCGGTTTCGGGTTCTTACAGGTGTTGGAGCTCGAGGAGGCGAACGAGGCGGCGTCGAGCAGCGACGAAGCAGAGACGACAATGACGATCAGCCAGTCGCCCATTTCGTGGAAGATCGTCTTTGAAGAAGAGCGGAAAGAGATTGTAATGCTGTGGCACGTCTGCCACGTATCGATCATCCACCGTACCCAGTTCTATCTCCTATTTAAAGGCGACGACTCCGACCAAATCTACATGGAAGTCGAACTCCGAAGGCTAAAATGGCTTGAGCGACATCTCGATGACGTTGGCAACGCCAGCCCCGCCCTCTTAGGCGACGACCCTCCGGGTTCCGTATCCTCAAGGTAAACATCCAAAAACCTAATCTTTACCTTATCATATCATATTCTAAACTCGACTACGTACAGCATCAAGGCGCTTAAACAGGAGAGGGAGTATCTAGCAAAGAGGGTGAGTTCGAAGCTAAGCGCCGAAGAACGGGAAACGATGTACGGGAAATGGGATGTACCTGCCGACGGGAAGCAGAGACGACGGATGCAGCTCGTGAACAAGCTGTGGACAGATCCTCTCAACATGCAGCACGTCAAAGAGAGCGCCGACGTCGTGGCGAAGCTCGTCGGATTCTGCGAGTCGTCGCAGCCGGTGTCCCGGGAAATGTTCGAGCTCAACTTTGCGCCTCTTACGGACAAGAAGACATGGATGGGTTGGAACTTGATTTCCAACCTTCTCCATCTGTAATAACACTCGTAAGTATCGGAAATTTCGAAGTTCATTTTCCGGCCTCGATTCGTTTCTCATCGAATACTTAAAAAAACAAAAGTAATCACATAATAACATAGATGGAAGAAATAAATGTAAAAGAATTAATGGCTACTACTTAACTACAAGAAGTTTAGAGCTCCGGGGACACGATTTTTCACATATGTACAAAACTAGAGATCCACGTCGAGTTACTAATTACTACAAATGGAAAGGCGAAGAAACGGAGCTAGAGAGCTCGGGAAAGAATTTTAAATAACTGTAGTCGGGTGCTTATGTACTCTTTTTTACGATCTAAGATTTGAGGAGATATATATATATCTATAGGCAGATCTTTTTTTTTTTTTATTGACCTGAACCTGTCGGGGGAGACGCGAATAAACTTTTTAGTAACTCAATGTTGCTTCGTTGTCCACCCAATGTACGAAGCTCTCTGGATACTCCTCTAGCGCCTCGTCGCACAAGTCAGTTCCATGGTTCTCGCGTCCCTACAAAAAAAAAAAAAAATTTAAATAATTAGATTATAAGAAACTTGTAAAATCGGAAATGTTGTGAACAATGGAGATATTATTTGGAAAAATGAGTAGTTCAAAAAGAATCGAAGTTTTGATCGACTCCGGTAATTGAGATCCTATGAATAAAATATCGTATTGATTTCTATATGTGAAAACTGGTTATATAATACTCCCACCGTTCTACATTTTTCGTTCACTATTTCTATTTTTATTTATCCTACTTTATTTGTTCTTTTCTTTTTAAAAAATATAATTAAATTTTCATAGTTTATAGTAATTTTTATCTTAATTATACTATTTATTTATTTTAATCTATAATTAATTTTATAACATAATAATTATTTTTACTAATATATTTCTTAATTACTTAATAATTATACCTTGTTACAAGAAACTAGAGACTGAGGGAATATACTATTTCCGTCCGAAATAATTATTACGTCCACTAAACTTATACATAATTTATTTATAGTAATAAAATTTATACACTCATAATTTTATTATCTTATTTAATAAGCAACAACCATTTTAACACTATTTTCTATTTACATTTTACATATTCGACTTCTATACTAAAATACTATCATCTCTTAACTTCATGCTCAATGAAAGTTATATAAAACATTCGGGACGGAGGGAATATATATTAAATGAATGGAGGAAAAAAGAAAAACTAACCCTCGTGCTTGATCCGCACTCACTTGCTGATGTTGTTGTTTCCCCGAGTATCATGCCATTGAAGACGATTTCTGATGACAGAACAGCAGTGGGAGATGCCGTCAGCAACGACCTGAGTAAAGTGTTGGGATGAATTCACGGGGAATGGAAGAAAAACAGTAAATTTTCTCATCGAAGTCTACAAACCAGAACAAAAAACTACTAAGGTGCTTTCTCTCCTCGACAGCACCAGCTCGTGTTTAATCTATCAGCCGATTAGTCTCCACCAATTTCAGACAACGAAAACTCGACCTCATAAAAGTAGTGACTAGAGATGGCACACTACGCGAACTCAATTTTTCTTTTTATTTTTTATAAAATCAATAGAACTAACTACCTTTCCAACAACTCTTCCTCGCACAAATTTCCCGAGGAGGACAGCCAGTCTAAATCAACAAAGTTAGTTCGATGATTTCCTTCCCCAATATCATGTTCGAAATACCCAATTCTTCGTATGTCAAGAAAATTCTGCCGAGAAGGCAGTAGAGGAGGATATCTGTAGAAAGTAAATGTCAAACTAGTAAGGTTAGTTTTCGAAACCTTGAAAGAATGTTAAGAAATCAATCTCCAATCTAAGAAAGCACGATTACAGTTCCGGTTGATATCAACAAGGGTTGTCCAGCTTGTCTATATAGGCTTACTCAAAACAAAAAAGGAGAGGTTCGACGGTCAGGATATTGATCAGACACATTTTTAAAAATAACTAACACGTCGAGAACACACTTCCTCTACAAATTAAGGGATGGAAATTAGTCCTTTGTGAAAAAAAAAAAATATATTATACTTTGCTTTCGACGGTCACTCTCCAGTCGAGACAGTAGATTAATCCACCAACTAGATTATTTGTAGCAAGGAAATTTCGAAATTAAATGATCTACTTAAAACATACTCTCTCCGTCTGCAATAATTATGTCATTTTCTTTTATTTTGGATCCGCTAAAACTTTATCAAATAATAATCAATTTACTATTTTTTTTTTTTTTTTACTTGCCCCACTACTTTTATATAAATTCCTTAATATACTTTCCACAATATCCTCACTTTACGTTTTACTTATTCCACTTTTACAAATGCATAAATATTGCGGACGGAAAGAGTAGAGTATCACTTATTTAGATAATGGGTCACCTTGAACATGCTAATTTGCTTCCAGAGGTTGATATTTCTGGCGTCGACTCAAAAAGCATTTTAATTTGTCCCCTGGCATCGCTAGGGAATGCAGCACCCGGGAAACCTTTATTGATGTTCAAGGCAGACGAAGGTGAGGTATTCTTGCGAAGAATTTGACCATCCGACCACGATCTTTTGAAAAATGACCTAAGCATGGGCAGCAGGAATGTGTTAGTTATTTTCTTGATCACAGAAAAGGATCGTAGTGATTTAAGAGGTGCAAGAGTCTGTACCCCACATCTTCATCAATGTATAATTCTCCGTTCCTTCCCACATAGTGCTGGTCCGAATCGAGCTCCCATAGATCAGCTTTGTCAGGTTCGGGTTGGAAATGCCCCAGAAATCTGCTAGGTAAGAAAGTGTTATAATAATGCATGCATTAATTACGAAAACATATGTTTCGAACATAATGTCTGAAATAGTCGAAAAGATCACTTACACGTTGATGGCGTTCTGTTTCTCTGCATCCATATATGCATTGCTGTAATACCTTTGAAGAGTTCGAAGAAATTCCTGGGACTGTATGGCGGCTTTCCATTGACCTCTTCGTTCGGAGAAGATCTGTCATGAGATAAAATTTCGGAAATGTCAACAAATCCGTCAATACATCAAAAGTGTAAAATAAACTACAGTAGAAAATGTTTAAAAAAAAGGAGAAAGAACAAGGGTTTGTTTGTTTTTTATTTTAACACTATTCAGTCCATACGACTCCCGAAAAAAATACACTATTTTCTCTCATGAGATATCAGATCAAAATACTATTTAAACCAAAATTCAAATAAAAACCCTCAATTTCAAATCAGAACCAAACAAAGTTTGTTTTTGAATTCGAACACAAATTAACACTATTCAGCCTCCACAGTTTTCGATAAAAATACACTATTTTTTTCTCACAAAACATTATTTCCTAATATACACAAATATAAGAAGAATAATGCATTAGCTAACCTTGTTATGTGCAGCCGAACCACCGTACTGATGAGCAAGAGTGTCGCCCATTCTCTCATAATAACTCATCAATTCCTCAGCCAACGGATCGTCGAGTTCTATGTGTGGCGAGGTCGTTACTCCCAAGGCATATAGCTGACTCCCAAGAGCAACCAAGCCATAAGCATATTGGGCCACATTGGTGCGATCCAAGCAATCTATGCAATTAGTCCGAAGCACTCCACTTTGGATCAATGGCGGCCTGACATAAGGGTTCCTATTATTTTCAATGCTGCTATTGCCCTCGCTAGATTTTTCGTTTGAGTCATCCGAATGCTCATTTTCCTCATAGCTACGCTTCTCAATATCATTATTCGAAGATGTTGGAGATATATCAGGAGTATCAACATTCCTGTGTCATATAAAGCCACTTAAAAACAGTTGTTCGCCACCTCATTCTCATTAAAAAAAGTAACCCAACCCAAATACTTGAAACATCGATTTTTGTCCTGTGATTGCTTATATTTTCATTTTTCTTCTTTTAAGCCAAATATTTATGTCCATATATTTGGAAATTGAGACGCATCAATTGTCAAGAAAATTTTAAAAAGAAAATGAGATAAGCATACATATATTTTTAGCGTTCGTGCGAAAGGTACACATGGAACACTAAATAGCCTTATTTCCATTTGGAACTTCTTCATTTCAATTCAAGAATTCACTAAGGGTGTGTTTGCTTCAAAGATTTCCACTCATTTTCACTATTCATCAATTTTTTTCCCAAAAAAATATTAAATCAAACAATTATTTTTTATTTTTTATATTATACTAAAGATTAATTTTACATTCATAATATCACATCAACATCTATGTATATCACATCGTACAACTATTCAAATTCAAAATTTTTACTATTTAAATCTCAATCCAAAATCCTAACTCCCAAACAAACACACCCTAAGAAAACTAAAACATAAAAACCATTTCAAGAAAGTGCTCACAAAGAATGGAATACTTCACTAATGTAAGTAGATTCAATATAATTATTAAAGCGGAATAAAAAGTCTTACTCAAAACTAGGCAATTCATAGCCGTTGGATAGCAATGTAGGTGTTAGTTGACAATAGAATAAACCCGTCACTAACAAAGCATATGTAGCCACCATTCCCAGAAGTTCCAAAACATTTGTTGCTTTGCTGCTTTAGAAAACAATGGAAAATAAAACATAAATAATCCAACATGTAGAAGAAATCCAACACAAAATGAACACCAACACATCATACCTTCTGGACAATTTATGCAAATCCAAATGAACAAATTTAAGCTGTTTCTCCTCAGGAAGATCTTGATTGATAGCTGCAATCGCATTAACAAACTCCGTACGAAGAATGGATTCTCGAGGCTTTTTTTCATTAGCCTGACAATAATACGTCATCAGGTGGTTAAGGTCATACGAGTTCCATAAACGTAACAAACCCTCGACTTAATATAAAAGAAAAATGAATAAGCAGCAATCATGTCAACTATAAATGAATTCTCCTCACCTTAATCAAATTCAAAATAATTATCGGACTCCCATATCTCTGGGTAAGATGCTCAAAATGAAGTCTAGTAGCCTCATAGTTCTGGTCACGCTTCGACACTATAACACAAAAATAACCCAATCAAAGACACATAAAAAAGTAAAAGGCTCAAATTTCCAAACAAAAAGTATATGCATCCATACATATTATATCAGGCTTAAGATTGAGACGGGAAGTTTCTTGTGACCAGAAAAGTGGAATTGAGCCACGATTTTGAACCACGGAACTAATTTGCAACGCCTCTCCTTCAGGAACATCCTCAGCTACAATCTGCTCTGTCTCAACGTCGTTGGCCACCCTGCCCTTCTCATTGACACCCCGTTTAAGATATCTACAAGGAAATCAAAGCTTGAAAATCGTCTACAAGTTCGACGTACATATCCTCTACACTTTACACATTAGCATTTTTTTTTTTTTTTTTAATTATTGACATCCACAACCTGCACAACTTAAAAATGTCAAATAAGGCAAAAAATGGTTCTTAAGTCAGTAATGAAAGTTGGGATAGCACAAGTCACAATACCAACAAATCATACTATTGTCAATGATAGAAATCTAATAACACTATAAAAGAAGTATGTGAATTAATTAGCATCAAAATACAGTGACATCTCAAAAAGGTATTCGAAATTGAATCACAAACATGCATCTTCAGAGTTTCACTTTCATAGTTGTTCTCTAACCTGGTACCAGCGTAATGCCGTGAACGCCTTGCAATAAGAGTTAGCTGGAAATCCCGACCAGATAGAGAAAGCTTGGTCTGTACAACCTCAAGCAAACAGCATCAATCAAATTCGTAATTACCAGGTACTCTATAAAAAATTTATATATATATATATATTTAAGTAAAATAAGCCCAAAGGTAAAGCACAATCCTACCTGCTTAAAAAAGCCGTATACCAATGCAACAGTCCACAGTGTGTTTGGCAGAAGATTGCGTATGCCACGGGTCAAAAATTCATTCCAAACAAACATGGTTTCATATAAGACTTTCCCTGTTTTTTTATCACACGTGTTCTTTTGTAGACTCCTCATAATATTGTACGAGTAACTAAAGAAGAAGTCCTTCGTCAAATCCACCATGCATAAGAGTTTCTTGTACCTGCACCATATTATTTCGTACTGACTAGTCACCACAACTAGCAAAAATTTAGTATTTCTTCAGTTGGTGTTCTCTCTCTCTCTCTCTCACTATTCAGTCTCTCAAAATTTCTCAAAAACATCAGGCCGAACAACTATTTCACCTCAAAAACATCAAATGAAAATACACACACACATTAATAAAATAAAATAAAATAAAAATCAGCAAGTATAAAAACCCACACCTAAAGATATTAGTGATCAGCTTTATTTGCATTATCATTTTCTGAGGCTAATAGTTAATTAATATATATAATTAAACGTATATATCGTGAAAATAGTAGAAATGTAGATATAGACAATACAGAAGAATGCTAGGTGTTTAAAGTAGGCTATGCAAATTTCGCAGTTGTTGTAAGTATATGTGTTTTTATTTAATTAAAGGTCAAGAAAAAGAAAAAGTTGCAAAAAGATCCAACATGCACAACATTATAACCTGTTTTCCTTGCTGAAGTTTACTCTTTGTGGTCGAACATTCGGATGTGGAACGGGAATGAGTTCGATCTTGGAGACTGCATATATGTTGTGACCACATATTACACCAATCTGTTTTCTTTTTGTAATGAGGAGCATGTAATATGGCCCTAAAAATTTAATAAACCCTGATAAATAAAAAGAAACAGAATCAGATATGATCAGGAATACTTTTTTTTTTTTCTAATTTACAATCGACATACCAACAATTCCATAACAAGTAGTAATAAATTTCAATCCCCCTGTGGCCGTGTTGCCTTCATGCAACATCTTCAGTAGATCGGAGCATTCATCTTCAGAATATATTGTAGAATCTTCTTGGATGTTAAGCTCTGTGGGTTCCGAACGGTCAATTTTCAAAACTTTCCAGTGTGTTCTACTTTTGTCCCTTCCAACCATATAAAAGTTCTGCACCAAGAAATGAGATGCAATTAAGTCAAAACTGACGACTCTTCAAATTAAAAAAAACACAAATAGATATACATAATAGAATTTGCGAAGCATATGCGAAAGAAATTCGGGGTGTATTCTTTTGTGTTTTTGTTTTTATTCCTGTTTTGTGTTTTTGTTCAAATTCTTTTGACGTGAAATACTGTTCGATGTGATGCTTTATATCGAAAATAGGTGTTGAATATAATTATTTTGAGGAAAAATAAGAAAATGAAAACGAAAACAAAAACAAAAAATGAAAACACAGCCGCAATCTGCATCTCAATGATTTCATCAATGTACATTTTTTGAAGTCTAATGACCAATCGCAAGGAAACAACCCGACAACAACAGACACGCCATAAAGCGCACAGATGATTTCCAAAATACGCCAACAGCAGCCTTTTTGAGTGATTAATCCAGATCAAATAACGAAATGCCGACATTATTTTCAGATGTTTTAAACATGTGGCATATGACGTGTCTCGATCTCGTTTTCAACTAATAAAATCCAGCTACTTATTATTGATCAAGCATTTATTTTATTTGATCGAAAAATTAAATACAAAAAAACAAAAACAGCCATATATAGAAGGGTTTACTAAAGCAACAACAGTGACTCCTACAAAAATCTTAGTCGAAAAAAGTAAGAAACCTCAATAGGCCAAACATGTGAATTAAATACCTACAAAATCTTTGTAGACTAATAAAGTAAACAAACCCAGTATGCCAAACATATTAATTTAATTCCTACAAAAAAAATTTGTGGACCAATAAAGTAAACAACCTCAATTTGCCAAACATTTGGACTAAATTCCGACAAAGTCGGTACCGAATAAAGTAAGCAATTTCAGTATGCCAAACATATGAATTAAACTAAGTGTCGGGGAAACCTACGGCACGACATCGAAAATTCAGAACTAACACAAAATACATATATGCAGACATAAATTACTCAAATTTCTTAAAACATGTTTTTATTCAGAACTAAAACCGAAAAATGAAATTGATCAAATTGCTGAAAAAATCATAAATTAAATCATCTGAAATTCTTTACCGCCTGAGTCTTGTAGAGCCTGAATTTCTGCAAGTATCTATCTTGAGACAATGGAGGAGAAGTAGGCTGTATTCCATGGTTTTGATTTTGTGAATTGTTGTTTCCTAAAACATCAGCCATTGATTTGATTCTGCTTGTACTTGATGATCCCCGAGCCTCGAGCCCGGGAATCAACAATTATTCCGGCATCAATTCTAATCAACAAAAGTCGGTCGAACTCTCCCCGAACTCCAATCACACCGCCTCCCAAGGTTGCTTCAAATACAGCATTCCAGAAATAAAATTTATATATGTATATATGCGTATATACAATAATGAAAGAAATCAAACCATTTACGTTTCCCCTATCCTCAGAAAACCCTCAGATCATAAAATGCCACAGGACAACACCAATTTGAGAAATGTTTTAGCACACAAATTTATCGACGATCAAATCAACCCTAAAACAAAATTGAAATTGCAAATCGAAACCGAAACCGAAATCAAAACCTCTGGCTAGAAATTGAAGGAAGAAAATCCAAATGCCTCTACCAGGTGGAGAATCCAAGGAAGTAGAGAGAAATGAAGGAGGACAGGATCACAATCTTTGTTGATGATGAACGCGAAGAAACAGCTTTTGGATCTGCAGAGAGAAAGAGGCAGAATAGAAACCACAACTTTATTTAGCTCAGCAAATAAATAAAGTTAAAAAATTAAAAAAAAAAAAAAAAATGGATTACTATCGAGTCCGTGTTCGATTTATTTATTTTTTTTATTTTTTTGTATATGTTATTATAAAAAAATAATAATAATAATGATTTTATAATTAATTGCATATATTGTTAATCAGGTACAGCTAATAATCATTTTATATGTTTTTTTTTTATTTAAAATTATAACGAGGTGTGTTGTTTTAGTAAAAATTACAAATTTTAAAAACATATTTTTTTAAAAAAAAAACTAATATATTAAACATTTTATTCTTTTTATATTATTTATGTAATTTTTTATATTTTATATAAACAATTTCTATTAAAAATTTCGCTAAATAAACAAACCCGAGACCCATTTTTAAATTTTTTTATAAAATTATATTAGTATTTTTTCACAAAATAAAGATTTTATATTTTGGTTTAAACAATTTTTGGATATAATGGATTTAGTGTTTTGCTTTGAATTTTTTTTTTTTTTATGTGAAATATTAAAAATTGTGAGATGATAAAAATAAATATAATAAAAAAAAAAAAAAGACCAAGAAAACCTAATAATTTTAGTTGAAAAAACAAGTATTGAACTTAATAATTTGAAGATAAATTTGTACATAAAAAATCATTGTAGTTTGATATTGATTTGAAATAACATATTTGATCTGAGTTTATATTTAAATATTATTTTAATATTTTATCCGCAAAAATTAGAATATTTAAGTTCCACAAGAAAATTAAAAATAAAAAATAAAACATTTTAAAATTTTAGTTACAAATTAAAGAAATGAGACAAGAAAATGTAATAAAAGTAATATATCGTTGAATTGAGGATAACAGTTAAATGTTTATATAAATTTAGGGGATAAATTGAAAAATAAAATAAAAATAAATTGAAAAGACAAAGAGAGTATAGTATTTTATGAGATAAAATAATATATTTTTATTAAAATTCGTACATAATGAATAATGATAATTTAATTTGAAATCACAACTAAATAAACCCAAATACGGATTTTAGTAAAAAAAGTATTTTCTGTTTAATATTTTTAATAAAAATTAAAAAATATTGTTTTAAAAATTGATAAATTTCTTTATTGGGCATTTTGATAAATTAAATTGAAAATACTACTATAAGATTTATTTCTATTTTGTCCTTAGCATTTATAAATTTTCTTTATTGTAATGATATTTTATTATTTTTTACTGAGTAAAAGTATTTTACTATTTTGCATTTATTATATAATTATTGATAGTTTATAAATATTACTACAAAAAAAGATAAAAATATATATACATAAAAAAACATATCAAAAGTTATTTAAATTATATTATTTAAAATAATTATGTTACAACTGTACCGACTAACGATAAAAAATAATGGATGAGATTATAGGATACAATTTTAAAATTTAAAAAAACTTCTATCTAATGAAAATATTGATGTAAAACATGTGTGATTATAATGTAGTCCCTCCGTCTCAATACAATAGTCTTGTTTACCATTTTTGTTCGTTCTAAAACAATAGTCTTATTTCCATAAATAACTATATCACCATAAAACTACTTTTACTTTTTCATTTTTATTACACAATTGTCACTACTTTTTACTCTAATACACTCACATGACAAAAAGGTTTTTTATTCATAATTTTTACCTGCTACCAATATAATATCAATATTTCTTAAATATCGTATTTAATCCAATTAAGACTATATTTATGGGACGGATGAGTAATTATTTGAAATAAAATGGAGTAGAATTTATATAATACTTTCATTTGTTTAGATCATATGTACTCATGTGTTGTTTTATAATAGATTAATAATAATAATAATAATATCAAATATATTTTGACAAAATTGATTTTCATCCTTTATGTATAAAAAAATTAGTATATTTATAATTCATATAAAAATTAAATCTATTTTAATATAACACTTTAGTGTAATAGACAATGTATATATTTGAATATGTCAATAAAATTAACAAAATATATAATTTTGTGGGGACACGAGGAATATATAATTATGTAACATATAATTGATCTTGGTTGTAGATAAATTGAAATTTTAGTGTTTTTTATTTTTTATTTTTTATTTTTATTTTTTATTGCACATAGGCAAGATGAGTTTACAAAATTGAAGTTATATATATTAAAAAAAAATTGATATAATTCATCAATAATATGTTTTTAAAAATATAATATCAAATATTAATTTTTTTATTGTTCCTAAAATAGTTAAAAACTTAAATGTATACATACATGTTGTTAATATAATTGTATTTTTTTTAAAAAATTATCTATATATTTTTTTTATTTTTTTAATTATATTGAAATATTTTAAATAAAAGTATAGAAAATATATTTTTAAAATTTAATTATTTATATTTTAAAATTTTAATTTAAAGAAATATATAAATTACAATATTATAGGAGTATTAAATTATTTGTATTTTCCAATTTATTTTAAATTTTTATAATTTATATTTAATAATTTGAGTATAATTAAAAAATATACATACTTCTATTTAAATTTGGTATCTCAATTATAATTGTAATTTTCAATTTAAGTATAATACAGGGCCGTCTCAGACTTTTTTTAGGCCCTGAGCGAAAATAAATTATAGGCCCTACGTGACCGTCTGGATAATGTAAATTTGAGAAAAGAAGATGAAAGACGGTCTATCTGAAAGTTCGAAAAGCAAAAAAGACTGAGGAGGGTGAAAGATATAAGAGAAAATATGAGGCAGGTTTGATCGAGTTGATGGAGGCAATGCGATATGGTGTAAGATAAAGAAGTGTAGACGATTAGAAAGAAAAAAAAAATGATTAGAAATTAAAATTTAATTTTAAAATTAACTAGGATAATTACAAAGAAAAAAATTAAAACTTAAAATATAATTTTAAAATATAATAATAATAGATAATATTTAAAATATAGGTCATCTATTAATTAGGGGTCCAGTTGCTCACCCTGCTCTTGCTATGAGCCGACCCTGGTATAATATATAAATTTAAAATAATAAGATAACTATATTTCTTAATATTATTAAAATATAATATATAAATTAAATTATTTTTATAATATACTTCATCCGTCTTATAACTATAGTCTGAATTGTGTTTGGCACGAGATTTAAGAAATATTGATATTATATTAGTAGTGAGTAAAAAACATGGGTAAAAGATATTTTTGTCCTTATGAGTGTATTAGTGTAAAAAGTAGTGACAATTGTGTAATAATAATGAAAAAATAAGGGTAGTTTTACAGTGATATGATTATTTATGGAAATAAGACTATTGTTTTAGGACAGACAAAAATGGTAAACAAGACTATTGTATTGAAACGAATGAAGTATTATAGTATTGTATTTATTATTATTATTAAGAATAAAACAATAACTTTAGAATAAAACAATAACTTTAGGTTGGTAGTATTAAGTAGGATAATTTAGAAATTAGGTGATGTGGTGGAGAGAGAAATGTATATTTTATTTTTTTATTTGGGTGATGTGATGGAATAAAGTGTGGGTTAGAGATTAAATATAATTAATTATTTAATATTTTGGAAATATTACAGGGTGTTTGGAACATACCAGAAAAAAATATTGCAACGTGTTTTGGACGAAGGAAGTACTAAAATTATAAATTTACGAAGTAGAAATACTTAAAAATTGAATAGTAAAATTGATCCTTAAAAGTTAAAACACACAATCAAATATAAATAAATTATTGCCTTGATAATATTTCGTATGAGATCGTATGCTAGTGTGTAGGTAGACTTGTGACCTAATTTACTGATTATTAAGTTTAATTGAAAATTTATTTAAAGTGCACTGAAAAAATAATGATTGTAGATTTTACGTAAAAAAAAAAAATAAATAAATAAATAAAATAATAATAATAATAAATACCTTGATGAATCTAGACAAAGCCATTTTTCTCTATCTTATTATATTTTAGATAATATAATGTGGACACTATAGTTTCATTTTTCACCATTTTCTATTTCTTTGATTTTAATGTCAAATTCAAGATAAAACAATTTAAAAGATAGGAGCAACAAATGTTATACTATGAATGAATGTGTACATAATTTTTAATGTTACAACACCACAAATAAATTATTGAAAAATTATTCAATTCCATTGAACATTATAAATATCAAATAATCTTAAAATAAACTTCAAAATCCAACTACCTCACTACCTCCTACTCTAATTATACACACTCCCTCATCTCCCCCATCTACTACCTATATATAAATTATATTTTTCCAAATAAAAAAATAAATAAATACCCAAATTCAATTATAATCTAAAACAATTGGAGTAAATTACAATCCTCCATATTTTAATATAAACATACAAAATATACCGTATAAATTTTATTGCACAATTTATCTTTACATCAGCTAAAATATTGCACAGAATTCCTTCCTCAACGTGTACATAAAAATACACAAAGATAGAAATTCAATACATATTTTCCGGCTAACAAAAAGGTCAATTATACAATAAATTTTATTTAGAATATCTCATAAATTTATATCAAAATTTCAATTATATATATATATATATCTATATATATATAATTTAAATAAATAATAATAATAATAATGAAATATGCAGTAAATAAATTAAATTAATTGTCAATACGGGCCCACACGCCGCGGCTGGGGATCCCACGGCGGACGACGAAGATGAGATAGTACCCCGGCGGCGCCACCTTCCCAGACGGCGGCGCCTCCACGGACAACGTATTGCCGCTAACTTTCCGGCTGAGAATGAGCAGCCGCTGGTTCTGGCAGTAGCCGTGGGTGGTGAACGGTGGCGAGTACATCGTGACCTTCACCTCCGGCGGCAGCAGCGGCCCCTTTTTGGTGGTGACGGTGAGAGTGAAGGTGCCGCCGTACTTCATCGGAATCGGATCCGCGGCGCCGGTGATCTCCACGCGCCAGTCCTGGAGCAGCGGGTCCAGGTACGGCGGCGTGAACTTCTCGGTCCGCATCTCCGTCGGAAAAATGAAGAGGTCGTTGTACTTGGGCATCATGTAGAAGGCGTTGGTGTTGCTGCCGGCGATGAGAATCTCCGCCGACGGTAGCACGGCGGCGTTGGAGTGGTACATCCGGGGAACCGTCGTCGGAGCGAGTTCCTTGAACCGGAGACCCTTCGGTTTATTAGGTGTGTAGAGAACCGGAGTCATGTTCGGCTGGTCGGCCGCGTTCCAAGCCGACGTGCCGGCCTTTGCGCCGTTCAGAATTAGCAGATCTCCGGTGGGGAGAATCACCATGTCGCCTATCACATATTATTTATATATATTAAAATAATCTAAATAAAATTAATGATTTTATAATTATTATTATTATTATTATTAATTTAATGTGTGCATACGAAACTTTTATTATTTTTAGAATTTTAAATGAACTCGAATGAAAATAGTTTTTTTTTTAAGTATATATATATTTTTTTATTAAAATAATTATTTGGTGTTGAATTCTATAAATTGGTCCACAGTTATTTGACGTGGCGTTAACTTGTGACTGATATATCATTGCCACGTCAAACAACAACAAATAAAAAATATTTATTTATTTTATTTTATAAAATATTTTGGTAAATTATTTATTTTAATCTCATATCTATGATCCTTTTACTTTAAATAGATCATAGATCATAGATCATGTGTGAAAATAGTCATGACAGTAAAAAATTTATGCTAGATCGTCCTTTGATGTGTCAGTGATATTGCAATGACATATCATCGCTAGATGAGCAACAATAGACCAGTGTGGCGAATCCGACGTCGTAGGACTATTTTTGGTGAGATTTTTTTAGACATAACCATTTAAAGTCCTAAAATAAAAAAAAGTTAAAAATAGTCGTGTAAGTAAAAAAATTTCGCTAAATCATCTTCTATGTCACTGGCATAGCGATGACATTTCAACTACGTCAGTGCCACAATAGCAACAACGAACCAACGCAACGAATCCCACATTGGAGGATCATTTTTTAGCGAAATAATTTTACTATTTTCCGACGTAAAATAGTTAAAGTCCTAAAATAATAAAAAAATCAGATATGAAATTAAAAATTGTTTAAATTTTAAATTTACCCATGACACGTGGCGACGGCATATCCTCCGAATCCCAATCAGCGCCTTCCTTCATCAAATCGATCCTCTGACAGTCCTTAAGCGCCGGCAAAAATGTCCGGTTAGGCTGCTGCAAATCGGAGTAAATATAAGCGTCGCGACTGTTGCCGCCGCAGATAATAACTTCATACTTAGGGTCGCCGGAGCTTAGGTCGACGGGGAGGAGAGCGGACATCGCGGACGGTGGGTAATTCCGACTTCCGGCGAGGTCGGGGAACTTCCGTACGGCTTCTCCGGTGTACGGATTGAGGACGATGGACTTGTAATTGGCGAAGACGAAGAGGTTTCCGTCGGGGAGGAGGTTAACGAAGGGGTAGAGGTTGTTCTCCCGGCCGGCGTCGTCGTCGGTTTCGGCGAGGAGGGGGAGGGCTTTGATTTGGGGGGTGAATTCGAGGGTGTCGACGGGGACGAGCTCGTAGTTGTAGGCGTCGCGGCCGCCAACGATGGCAAAGGTGCCGTTCTCGAGGGGGTGGTCGGTGGCGTACCAGCGGTTGCTGAAGAGGGCGAGGTTCTTCTCCTCGAACTGGCAGTTGGGACACGGCTTAAGAATGCGGACGGCGCGGAACCCGTCCTTGTCGCCGCCGGTCGACATCAGCTCGCCGTTCTTCGTCATGCCGCCGGAGGAGCACCACGGGCTGGAGGCCAGCTGGGAATTTTAACATACGCGAAGGAAACAGGTTAATCAAGATAAATACAGTTGGTTTTTTCAATATTATTTTTCAATTGCGATCCATAACATAATACTAAAGAACACAAAACAATTTATACAAAAGTTAAAAAATCAAAATATTCAATATAAAATATTATATTTCTTCAAGAAATATATAATTTTTTTATATCTTAAAATAAATATATTATTTTCTAATTTAGTAATTGTATTATATATTAACATAATGAATACCTTACAATTTAAAATATATTATACAAATATTGTTACTTTTATATTATACGACCATGATACGGGCATTTTTTAATTATTATTATTATAAACAAATATAATACTAATATTAAAAAATCTGTTTGCAAAAATAAATACTAATATTCTTGTTGCAAGACCAGAGGTAATATCTTATATTTTTAACACAGTTACTCGTATAACACACCAACAATTTATTTATCTAGAGACGCTAGGTAAACGGATCCGTACTTTCACTTGTTATTATTATTATTATTATAAAAAAAAAAATCCATTGGTATTTTTCAAATGATATTTGTAAAAAAAAATTACTTATTTTTATATAGAATAAAAAAGTTTGCATAATAATAAAAATAAAATAAAATAAAACCGAACTCTAAATAAACAAATTCACAATATCACAAAAAATAAATAAAATAAAATCTTATAAAATAATTACAAAAATCAATATAATTCAACCAATACTATAAAATGATATTCTCGTTCTCTTATTATTATTATTATTTTTTATCTATTTTATAAATAATTTTTATATACCTTTTAATTTATATATTTCAATTATACATCCATTTACATTTACAAATTTGCAGCAATTATAATTATACTTTTATATATTCAACTTATCATTTTTTTTACCTCAGCTTATCAAGTTTAATTAATAAAATATTAGTATTATTACATATTCATTAAAATTCATATTCAATTTTTATAATCATATATATAGAATCAGCATACACTTATTTTATATCTTTATCTAAAAAATATAATAAAAATATAAAAATCATCAAAAAATTAAATTAATAATTGTTCAAAATAAAATTATCTCGAAAAATAAAAATAAAACATAGTTGATTAATAATTTCTCAATATAAAATTATCTCGAAAAATAAAAATAAAACATAGATGAATTAGAGAATACGATACATTAAGCGGTCGCATCTGCGCCGTCTCGGCATCATACTCAAGAGCGTGGGCTGTGCAATCGAGCTGGGGGTCGGTCGGGCGGCCTCCGACCCTCCCCCGGCACAAGGGGGGGTCATTTTTTATTTCCGACAAGCCGTTACTTGTCGAGTCGTACATTATGAGCTTATTATTGGGCAATAATTGCATATGCATCGCCGAGACACCGCAATTGGGCGAGTCGACTCTCCACGAACCCAAAAAATTAGTCGGCTCGACAATGTAGTCATCGATGGCCGCCTCGCCGCCGATCGGCAGGCGGCCGCCGGCGTAGCAGAGGAGGGAGCAGTGGAGGAGGACGGCGATGAATCGTAATATTGGTACAGCCATTATTGGATACAACGATCAATGATCAAATTTTGTTTTGACGTTAGATTGGTATTTATTAGCGTCAGAAATTTGAACTTATGAAAGAGCCAAATGCGGGGAATCGAGGTAGACGAGGAATTCACGCCGACAAAGAAAATGTAGACAAAATTGGTGGTGTCTAAAATGTATTGCTAAAAATAGTATGGGCGTGTCTGGCGGTGGAATCTCTAACGGCCACATCTCAATTATTATTTTTTTTAAAAAAATAAATAAATAAAATAATAAACTCTCATTATGAATAAAAATGAAAAAAATGAAAATTAAATTAAGAATAGTATAGTACTTCCTTAGTTTCATCATTATAATTTTAGTTGTGTTGAATACGAAATTTAAAAAATATTGATATTATATTGATAATTGGTAAAAAATATAAATAAATTTTTTTTTATCGTGAGTATATTAATGTAAAAAATAATGATAATTGTTTAATAATAATGAAAAAGTAGGAATGATCTTATAACAACATAGTTATTTATAAAAATAAGACTATTATTTTGAGACGAACAAAATTATAAATAAAACTATAGTATTTGAACAAAAAAAATATCTTTTTATTACATAATATATATAATAAATTAAATTATTGATTTGAAAAAATTCAAATGAGAAACAGAGGAGTATATATACTCTTATTTTTTGAAATAAAATTTAAATTAATAAATTTTTACTACTTAAAACGTCAAATATAAACTCAAAACTCAACAACGTAAAGTATCCAACATATTCATAAGATGCGATTTTATCTTAAATGCGTTCTCAAGTTCCATCAAATTTCTACACATCTCAAAAGAACGACGACGCTTCGCTATATAGTTCATCATCCACACCGGTTACAATGACCCGCTATCAATGTAGCTCCACAATTGTAACAGAAAGCATGTCCGCACCTAATGAGAACTAAAACGGTCAAAAGAATCGAAAGCAATCGAGAAAATTATATATGAAGACATGTTTTAATGTACGATCAAATTTATAAAGAAAATTGTAAATGGAATAAGTAGATATGAGAAAGGCAAAGATTTCAACAATAAGTTTTCATCAATGAAGACAAAGCAAATTGTAGCGGCAAAAGAGATCGAGCCAATGTATGAACGAGAGACCATCTCCAATTCATTACTCCGTATTTTATTTATAATAATTTTATTTCACTTATAAACTTGAACTTTTACTCCAGAAAATATGTTTTTAATATATTATTTTTTAATATTATTTTATATACCATTTCATATTTATAAATTATATCTCAACTTTAATTTGTCTTTACATTCCACTCTAAATAAATAAAAAATTATATATCACTTTTAAAAAATTAAATTATACATTATTTCTAAAAAACTAAAATTATATATCACTTTTCTAAAATATAAAATTATACTCCCCATGTCTCATCGAACAATTGTCATTTTTCATTTTCGTCCGTCTCAATATAAGATCACAATTTTTTAATTAAATAATTGTACTACTACCTAACATAATAAATACCCTTCCAACTTACACTATATTACACAAATACTATTACTTTTAAGGTTTGGATTTCGAACTGATACTTGAGTAGTAAAAAATGTTAATTGAAATAGTTGTATGATGTGATATAAATATGTGTTATATTTTGAACGTAAAATTAATTTTTTTTGTATAAAATAAAAAATAAGTGTTTGATTTAATATTTTTAGAGAAAAAAAAATGGAATGAATAATAGATTTTATCAAAATCCACATAACGAACACACCATTTTATTACACCATACAAATAGGGGTATTTTTATTTTTTTCATTACAATCAAATATAATACTAATATTAAAAAATCTACGTGTAAAAAACAAACTGTAACTTTTTTATGAGATGGAAGGAGTCTAACTTTTAAAAATAAAATAAAATTATACATTATTTTTAAAAAAATAAAATTATATATCACTTTTTTAAAATATAAAATTATATACACTTTAGAAAAACTAAATTATACATTTTTTTAAAAAAAATAAAAATATATCACTTTTTTTAAAAATAAATTTATATATCATTTAAAAAATAAAATAAAATTACAGAATAAATCAAACAGAACCGCAAACCTGCATTTCATGTGATCGCAACCATACAATTTCTCGATGAAGAATCCGCAGACAGAACACCTCATCCATTTCAAATCCTTGGCAAGGTTCTTCACCATAACATCCTCACGGCTACTCTCGCCTGAACCCGATCTCCTGAACGCCTCGCACGTCTTCTCCGAATGCCATGGAACCTTACACTGCGCGCAGAAAAGTCTGTTGCAAACAGGACATTCAGATTCAACCACAAACTCACCGCTGTCGTTGATCAGCAGAGACGAACAGTCCTTGAACGGACAGTAGAACTTCTCCGGCGACGGAATCATAGCCTCGCACAGAGCTTCGGACCATCTGTCGAACACCTTCTGCGCGATAATAGAGCGGCAATTTTGAGGCTCCAAAACGACGTCGCATGCGCTGCTAGGGCAGGTAATGGAGGTTGTATTCTGATCTACTTTCGTAGCCACGAATTTGGCGATGCAATTGGTGCAGTAAGAGTGATTGCAGCCTTGAATTCGAAAGAAATCGCTTACTAGCTTCTCCTCCGCGCAGATCTCGCAGGTGAACATGGTTGATGTTTCGATTTCGATTTGGAGTCTGGCTTTTTTTTGCACTCTGCTTGATTTGAATTGGAAAAGTCGCCATTGAAGTGAATTAAACCCTAATCTGCTTCGGCGAGGAGCTGAGCAGTCGCTTTTTACAGTCAAAACTCTCCTTCGCCATTAATGCCGATGAGTTTCATACGGAAGAGAGGAGATGAAGCAGTTATGAATTGTTAAAATGATGGCGGCTCTTATGATCATCAGCACCGTGATTGATGTCTTATAGAGTATTATGTTGCCCATTATACCCGATTCCTAACCAGAGACCTTTATCCACACCTATGTTATCAACAACTAGATGATATAACGTCACATTATACATTATTTGTTATACATGTTATTATTTGTTGAATTAAATTATATATCTATTATATATGATATATTTTTAAAATTAAAATAATTTTTACAATAATTTTATTTAAAGGAATTAGTTTAATTAAGGAAAGAATTTGATATGATAATAATTACAAACATTACGGTAATTATCAATATTACATTAATTATAGTTTCAAATTTTATTCAAATATTGTCTCATATTTCAATATGCTATCGACTAAATATGCATATGATATATGTGATTTTGTAATTTATAATATCTACTTAACAGGTTACTTGCAAAATTAATATTTTATATTTATCCGTAATATTTTTTTTATTAAAGTATTATATTATTTAACTTAAGTAATTAATTTAATTAAGTCAATATATTGATACGATATTAATTATAAACGTTATTATAATTAATTATTTCAATAATTATGGTATGAAATCTTATTAATTATGTTATTAAATTTTATCTAGATAGTACCACAGGATGTTATGCATCCGATGTATACAACTATGCTATCAACAATTCAATGATATGATGTCACGTTATATCTTTTTTTTTTTGTTGTACATGTTATTTGTTGAATTAAATTTTATATTTATTATATATGATATATTTTTTTGAAATTAAAATATTTTGCCAAATAAAGCAAAAAATTGATTTGATATTAATTATAAACATTACCATAATTATAAAAAAATCTTTTTAATTATAGTGTAAAGTCTTATATAAATCTTAACTCATGTTATGTTGTCGGTTGTATACACATATGTTATCAACAACTTGATGATATGATGTCACGTTCTACATTGTTTGTTGTACATGTACTTTGTTGAATTAAATTTTATATATATTATATATGACATATTTTTTTACAACTAAAATATTTTTCTCAATAATTTTACTTAAAAGTAATTAGTTCAAATAAAACAAAAAATTTAGTTGATATTAATTATAAATTCTATCATAATTATAAAAAATCTTATTAATTATGGTATAAATCTTATATAAATCTTAACCCATATGATATTATGCTATCGGCTGTATATACATATGCTACCAACAACTCGATGATATGATGTCACGTTATACTATTTGCTACATATTATTTGTTAAATTAATTTTAAATTTTATTATATATGGCTTATTTTTCTTAAAATAATTTTTTTTTCACAAATATTTAGTAACTAGTTCAATAAAGTAAAAAATTGATTTGATATTAATAATAAATGTTACCATAATTATAAAAATTACTTTAATTTCGGTTTCAAAATTTTGAATTAATTACAAATGTTACTCTAATTAACATAATCTCATTAATTATGATTTCAAATCTAATCTAAAATTTGATTATGTTATGTCATTGTCAATATATATTTTCTCTGTAATTATATAATATGTTTTTTTTTTTTTTTTTTATGTATAGTGTATGTTGTATATATTATTTATAATAATAAATTCTATTAAAAGTATTTATGATATTTGTTTTTTCTCAAAATTCTATTTATATAATATATATTTATTTATGATAGTAATAAAACTTGTACTTTCTCTATCTAATAAATTTAAAAGTAAAATTAGAAAAATGAATATTTCTTTGAAAAAGTGATAAAAATAAATAAAATTGTTGAAAATACTTCTAAAATTTTAGTTAAAAATTAGAGCAAATGAGAAGAAAATTTAAGTATTAAATGAAAATAATAATTAAATATTATTTTGTTAATTTTATCAAACTTAGTAATTAGGTAAGTTTTAGGAGATAGACTCTAAAACTAAATTTTGATTATGTATTGGTTGATTGATTAAATAATTGATAAAATTTTGATTGATTGACTTTGTCAAAATCGATAAATTTAGCAGAAAAAATGAAATAAGAAAATAAAAGTAAATTTTATGGACAGAAGGAATATTATTTACTATAAAAAATATGTTAATTCCTACTTTCAACTTTTCATGTTCATCTTTTCATTTTCGTTTCGTTCCACTTATTTTGTTATTTTTTTCTCAAAAAAAATTATACACTTTAATCTTATTTTAAAAATTTTAATTTATAATTTTTTAAATTTGAATAATATTAATCAATTATCTTAGTCTATAATTATTTTTATTATATGATAATTATTTTTATTAATAAATTTTAAATTATTTACTAATTATATTCCTCATAGATAGAGCTGACAAAAACTGACGACAACTCGATTATAATATATTAATATTGATTAATATATTTATTATATATATAAAATAATTATAATTTAATAATTTTTTCATAAATTAATTTAAATTAAGTTCAATTTTAAATAATTCAACAGAATTTACGATCAAATCAATAAAATTAAACATAACATGACAACATAACAAAAAAATATTTAATTTAAATTAAGAAATTCTGCTTAATTATATATACGGGTCAACAAAAACCCGACATGATAATAAAGGGATCGAGTTATGATTAAGTAATTTAATCCGTTTAAAATATTCAACCCGACTAGAATCGACTCATTGCCAGCTCTACTCATAAATTCCCATGTTTAGACAAAATATCCGGAACGGAAGGGAGGAGTATTTTTTAAAATATACGAATTCCGAAAGTAATAATTAACTTTACATAAATTAACTGTTTTTTTTTTTCTTAAATAAAAAAATCTCAGATTACAATTTTCTAGAAATCGAAAGCTTGAACGGCCGAGCAAAACGGCGACGTTCATTCGTGAAGTACGAAATTACCCTCGGGAAACCTCTACCAGAATCACTTCAAAATCACAATCAAAATCAGATTCAGAAGCAGAATCAAATCAATCATGTTCACCTGCAAAATTTGCACCGAGGAGAAGCCAACGAGCAGCTCCTTCCGTTTGCTCATGTGCAATCACTCTTACTGCTCAAATTGCATCGTCAGTTACGTGGTTATCAAATTGGATTCGAGAGTAGCCGCCATTAACTGCCCTGAAATCGGCTGCGCCGGTGTTTTGAAGCCTCACCATTGTCAGTCGATTCTGCCAAAGCAAGTTTTCGACAGATGGTGCGATGCTCAGAGAAGGATGTCCGAGCAGATCCAGAGGTTTAATGGAGATGCGAGCTGTAACGACGATGTAAAGCTTTTGAACCTCGCCAGGCTGAAGAAGTGGATGAGGTGCCCTAATTGCCGATTCTTCGTCGAAAAATCGGGAGGTTGTTTGTCCATAAAATGCAGGTTTGTTTCTGTTTGATTCATTCGTCTTGTTCTTCTCTGATTTGGTGATTGTTCGTCTACTTTGTTTTAGTTTGATTATGCTTTCTCGAAGGTTGAAATGAGTTCTTGAAGCAAATTCGAAAACCCTAAACCCCAAAATGCCTTCTGGAATAAAAATTTGCAGATAATTTTCCAGAAAAATTTTGAAAATTGATTTTCTTGTATCTCATCTTAAAAACTAGCACGTTACATTCAATTACAACAAAATACTTCATCTAATTATTTAATTTTTTTTTTTAAAAATCAAAATAAATTAATCGTATAAAATGTGAGATAAATCAATTTGTTCATCTAACACACGCTTTGCCCTTTGTTCAACCATTTTTTTTTATAGCTTAGAGTTATCTTTGAAGGTTGAAATTGATCTTTTGTTTGATACTCCTTCCTTTAAATCTATACTCACTTTTTTTTTTTTAAATAAAAAAATATTATATTTTTGTACTTTTTTTTTTGCTGTAAAAAAAAAAATAATTATTACTCACTTTTTATTACAAATGTGCATTTGATTCAGCTTGTTTATATTTACGAACGAACATCTAGATTCGTTTAACTGTTCTAATTTGTATGCTTATTAGGTGTGGAGATACTTTTTGTTATAACTGTGGAGCTTCAATGGTGATGGATCACTACTGTACATCTTGCAAGCATTGAAGTTGAACTAGGGCATTATGGGATCCACAATCTTTTTGGATAATTTATGGTACATTGAGATTGGAGGCTTAACTAATTAAAAAAAATAAAATATCATCTTATTATTCATGAGTTGCATTATTTTATGGACATACTATGTTGATTTGATAAAATCGGTATTATATTTCATCGTATCAAACAAAATAGTACCTTCGTCTCACATACCGTGTGTGTCTACAGTAGACACGGTATTTTTGGAATTTTTGGAGGGGTGTAATTAGTAGATAATTAAAAATGTATAGGTGAAAATAATTATTTTATAATATAAATAATTATAAATTAAGATTAAAATAACTAATTAATTTAATTAAAATTTTAAAAAAATAAAATTAAAAAGTGTAAAATAAGATTAAAGTGTATAATTAATTTTCAAAAAAAGAAAGTGACATTTTACGTGGGATGGACAGAAACGGCAACGTGGACATTGGAACGAAGGAAGTATTATATATAATGTTAGAATATATATATATTTATATCAACTATCAAATCGTGTTGAATAAAAGTCGATAGAAATCAAAATTTTCTCTAAAAAGTTATTCCAAACAGAACAGAATTAGGTTACCTGAAAGTACGAAATTACCCTCGAAAATTGACCCCGCATGGGGAATCCTATCGGTACGTCGAGTCCAATTTGCACTTCTTTAATTAATCCTTTTTTAAATCTTTTTTTTGTTGGACAATAATGAAATTTTGAATTACTACTATAGATAAAATATATTTTTATAGTACTTATGATTTTAATATATGTATATTATTTTAGATGTAGGTAGTATAAAATATTTTATCAAATATTATTTAAATATAAAATTTAAATAAAATACCGCCAAGACAAATCCAAAATCTTATCTTATATATATATATTTGATAAAATAATAAATTATAATATTATTTAAATTAAAATTATATAAATTTAATTTAAAAGTTTTTCTATTCCATTTTAATATTATGAGAATCCTCAACTAATTATTTAAACTCGTAATCTCACATTTTGACATTCAAAGGTTACTTTTAGTGTAATTTGTCTGTCTGGTCTAATTTGCAGGATACTAAATTCGGTCGGTGTTTACCCAATGCGCATTTTCGGATAGCAGCGATTCTCCTGTAAAAAAAAAATAGAAATCAAAGAATTTCATCTAAAAATTTAATCGAAGCATAACATAACGAAGTTGAATATGTGAAAGTACGAAATTACCCTCGAAAATTGACCCCAATTTGCACTTCTTTGATTAATCTTTTCTTTTTTTTTTTTTGGGATGATTTTCAAATTTTGATTTACTATTATGGATAAAATGTATTTCAAATTTCCAATATGGATTAGTCTAAGCGTTTTTCCAATAAACTAATTTCAAACCTACAAACACAGCAGCAATGGCAAACGAGGGATCCGAACGTTGGGAACTGCCGGTGTACATCGCCGCCGACTGGAGCGCGGCACGGCGTATGCCGATCCATAGGGTTTCAACCGTCTCAGGGCCACCAATCGACAGATTAAACTTCGTGCAAGCGCGCCGCGAGAAGGTTAGGGTTTCCTACGACGGCGAATCTTCAAAATCAAACATGTTTACCTGCGAGATCTGCGCGGAGGAGATGCCAGTAAGCAGTTTATTTCGAATTCAAGGTTGCAATCACTCTTACTGCACCAATTGCATCGGCAGTTACGTGGTTATCAAATTGGATTCGAACGTAACCGCCATCAGCTGTCCTGAAATCGGCTGCGCCGGTGTTTTGAAGCCTCACCATTGTCAATCGATTCTGCCAAAGCAAGTTTTGGAGCCAGATTCGTGGTTACCAAACTGGATCAGAACGTAACCGCGATTAGCTGTCCTGTTAGCGCCTGCAACGGCGTTTTGGAGCCTCTCAATTGCAGATCTGTTCTTACGCAGAAGGTGTTCGACAGATGGTGCGATGCTCTGTGCGAGGCTCTGATTCCGTCGCCGGAGAAGTTCTACTGTCCGTTCAAGGACTGCTCGGCTCTGTTGATGAACGACGCGGATCGTAACGGTGAGATTGTGGTTGAATCTGAATGTCCTGTTTGTAACAAGCTGTTCTGCGCGCAGTGTAAGGTTCCATGGCATTCGGAGATGACATGCGAGGCGTTCAGGAGGTGGAAGTCTGCCTCAGGTGAGAGTAACAATGCGGATGTTATGGTGACGAACCTTGCGGAGCGGGAGAAATGGATGAGGTGCTCCAATTGCGAATTCTTCGTCGAGAAATCGGAAGGTTGTTCGCACGTGAAATGCAGGTTTGTGCTCTGTTTTGGATTTTGGGTATTTGATTTCATGTTCATCGATGATTTGATATTAAAATAACATAATATTTATATATATATAGCAGAGTCAAATATTTAAAAATTAATAATTTAATTTTAAATTATTACTCTGTCCCTTGGATTAGTATAATTTTATTTCTTTTAAAAAAAATTACAAATTAAATTATAATAAAAAATAGAATATAGAGATAAATTATATGAGATGGATAAAGTAATTAAATATTTATTCATTGTTTATGTATTATTAAAATTTAATTTTATATTAAAAACTATATGCATTTTTACGTGGTACCAAACAATTATTAAATTTTGATTTGGAATTTGAATTTAAATAATAAAAAAATTTAATTTGAATAATTGTATAATATGATATAAATAAATATGAATATGAATGTAAAATTAATATTAAGAGATATTTTTTGAATTTTTTTTTTAAATAGTAAAAATTTGATAAATCACTTTAATTTAAGATTTGTTCTTTTCTAACTTCAAATTCATACCAATACAATTCAAATTTATACCATATTTTTGAATAAAAATATACTCCCTCCGTCCTATATACAGTGTCTGCTACACTGTAGACACGGTATTAATTAGTAGATAATTAAGAATGTATTAGTGAAAATAATTATTATATAATATAAATAATTATAAATTAAGATTAAGATAAGTAATCAGTTTAATTAAAATTAAAAAAAAAATAAATTAAAAAGTTTAAAATTTTCTAAAAAGGAAAGTGGACATGGTACGGGGAACGGAGAGATTATTATATTTTTATGAAATATCATATTAAAATAGTATATAAACAAAATTTCAAACCTATATTTGATTTGAAATTACAATAAAAGAAATATTTATATTTTAGTCTGATAATTTGTTTTTACATTTTAGATTTATGTTGTACATATGAATTAAATTAGGTGCGGACATAATTTCTGCTACGACTGCGGATCTTCATTAGTGAATAGTTACTGTTCAAAATGCCGTGGATGAGTTCGTCCTGAGAGATGGGAATGCTATTTTGCAAGCTTTATTATAGCAAGTACATATAGTCCTTTCTTATTACTAATAATATTTTATTTTTCTCGTTTTATGGTGCTTTTGGTATTATGTTACCAATTCTTTTTTAAACGAATATTAAATCCATTCACTCTTTTGAATTATCTGCTTTTTTTTTTTTTAATTTTATAAGTGGATAATATATATTATTTCATACAATATATAGATTTTTAAATATTAGTACTATATTAGATTGTTCTAAAAAAAATAAAAATATCCATAGTAATAATATAAAAGTAACGATATTTGTGTAATCTATTGTAAGTAGTAAGGTTATTTTTATGTACAATTATTAAATTAGAAAATGATAATCTTAATTTTGAATGAATAAAAATATAAAATGACAATATTTCAATAGGACCAGAATGCTGACATGGAATTTTTAATAAACAATTATTATATTTATTTGTAAAACTAATTTATTTTACTTATTCAATATTTAAGATTATTTATTTATTTATATTATATAAAATTTTACAATTTACAAAATTATATTTATATTGTGTATATATTTTTTTATTAAAATTAATCTTAAAATATAATTAAAAATAAATTATTTTCAACTCAATTTTTAATTAAAAAATTCAACTGCTAATTGGGAGATATTAGAAATTTTCTACTATTTCTAAAATATTTTCTTTGAAAAATATATAATTAAATATTTACTTTTTATTTTTAATATTATAGTAAAAATTAATTTTGTATTTAAAATATTAATTAATATTTATTTATATTACATAAATTAATTATTTCAATTTTAAATTATCTATTTATAATTTTATTATTTTTATTTTAATTATATGGTACTTTTTAAACAAAATTTTACTAAATTTAATGTTCTATTTTTACTTTCTTTTTCTTTTCTTTTTTTTAATTTTTTTTTTTTATATATTCGTTATGCTCAAATATTTTGATCACCAATCTTACTAAAATGCAGATAATAATTACTCTCCCTCCAACATAATTTATCCGTTCTATATAACATGTTCTTTTTATTTTTGAAAATATAATTATGCACTTTAAACATATTTTAAATTTTAAATTTTATCATTTTCTTAATTTTAATTAACCTATTTACTTATTTTAATTTTAATCTATAATTATTTTTATTAATACACTTCTTAATTATCTACTAATTATGATTTACCTAAATTCTCGTATCTACGGTAATAAGCCAAAATATCTGGAATGGAGGGAGTATTAATTTTTATTTTTATAATAAAATAATAAAAAAAATAATAGAATTGTTTGCTAAAATAAAATAAAATAAAATAAAAAAACAATATTTTTATAACAGGCCAAAAATAAAAATTAATATATTAGCATTGAGAGGAAGTATTTTAAAGTTTGATGTAAGATTGAAAAACACAAACACAATAGAATCCACTCTCTTTCATATATATCATTTTCTTGATGAACTTTTTTCACATCACCACAACTTGCAATTTTCACAAGCCCAAATTGATGATGATCCTCCATTATTGATCACACAAAACCTTCAAAGCTTTCCATCAATGGAACATCCCAAACTTGACAGGAACATCACCATTCTTGATCCAACTCTCCCCTTGCAAAAATGCCCCAACTGTAAACTTCAAAACCTCGTCTTTTCCAACATCAAACTTGTACTGTTCCGACTTCGCCCTCCCGGCCGTCTTCGATCCGGCGCCCTCATTCTTGTACTCGACGAACGTCGCATTGTTCGGGCCCTCGATCCATCCCTCCGCCTCGATAACGTCGCCGATCTCGGATTCCATCACGACGGTTCGGGCGTAGGGTTGCATCGGCCGGCCGAGGTAGCTCTTGAACTTGTCCTTCGCGGGCTCGAGTTCTTTGTCGGCGAGGATCTTGCAATTTTGGAGCACGAATCCGGTGGTCTCGTGCCGGTCGGTCCTACCTTGGGCCGTCACGGTGTTTGGTTGGCTCTCGATGCCTTTTCGGACGTAGATCACGCAGTTTTGGAAGACGGCCGCCGCATCGCCTTGGATGATGTCGATGGAGCCGGTGATGTAACAACTTCGGTAGAATTGGCGCCGGGATTGGGCTAGGAGGGGCGATTGGTAGCCCTCCATTCGGCAGTTGACGAATATAGCACGATCAGCTTGGACACGTAGCGCCACCGCTTGATGCTTGTCGGGGCCGGCAGTGTTGCGGAATCCGATGGATTGGGCCATGAAGCCGTCGCCGAAGACGACTACAAGCAAATCGAAGTTTTAGAACTACTACTAACTTTTGAAAATATACCATAGTTCTTACTTAGGGATAGCAATGGTCCGGGTAGACTCGAGACATGACCCATATCCGAATCATTTACATGGGGTTGGTCCAATTATGTAGGTGTCGGGTCTGAGTCCGAATTCGAATATAATTTTAAGTTAAATTTTAAAAATTGTAAAAGATCTTTTTGTGTTTGTTGGATTCATCATATCTTGCTGGGTATTGTTCGGGTCGGGTCCGAGTACAATCGGGTCTAATTCGGATCTCGGGTCCAACTAGACTGACACATACCCGACCCATTGCCATCTCTATTCATATTGAGCTCTGACTCAAACAGTTGGACTCGCTTACTATTCTTATATTTGTCTTATAAATAGGAAATCATCTTCTCACCGAATGTCGCGGTTTGAAGAGCGGTCACTCCATCGGCGAAGCTCTTGCTTCCGGTGACGATGCTTTTTTGCGATCCGTCACCGTACATTGTCACATTCGTCATGGCCTTGGATACATTTACGCTCTCGTCATACACACCTTCTTTCACGTAGATAACGTAGCTATAAAATATTAAAAGAAAACAAACAAAAAGCTTAAACTTTTAGATAAGACGATCATCTAATCAGATAACGAATAAAAAGCTCGTCGTAGCATTACCGTCCTTTATAAGTCTTCGGCATTGCCTTCAAAGCCTCGTTGATCGTCGAGAAATTACCGCTCCCATCTTTAGCGACGGTAACATTTGGCGTGAATTTCGTTGAATCCGACTTTAGCAACCGCGCTTCCGGATGCATCCATGATGGCAATCCGGAATCATCCGCCGCCAAAAGCTTTCTCGACGAGCTCAACTTTGACAACAACGACGATGATTGCGAAACGATCGCCAACGCGTTGCTACCGTGCTCCTTCGCGGTCTTCAGGTACTTCTCCATCGCCTTCTTCGCCTCGCCGTCGGGGAAACCGTCGACGCATGTTTGTTGGTACGACAACGCGGCGCTCAACCGGGAGTCGAGATCCGGCTTCACGGAGGAAAATTTCCCAACGCCTTCAGATTCGACAGCGGCAATCGCGTCGCTGATCTCGTCCCGCGCGTCGCGAAGTAGCGCCATGCAATCCTCGTACGCCGCCTCCTTTAGGCCGCCGTTTCCGTCGAGCTTGAGGCTCGACGACTTCTCTGTCGCCGTCTTGACGCCGTCGGCGGCGACGGAGAGCGCGGCCTTGAGGATGTCGTGAGCCAGGTTGTCGCCGGAGCTCTTGACGACGGCTTTTTCGAGGCCACCTTCACATGTCTTGGCGTAGTCGGTGGCGGCGCAGGCGGTCTTGACGGCTTTGGTCTCCGCCGCGACGGATTTCGTGCCGGTTTCTGGCGGCGACTTCTTGCCGTCGTCGCTGGAGTGGTCCTCGCCGGCGGCCTGACTGTTTTTGTACATTACGACGCCGACGGCGGCGCCGGCGAGGAGGAGGACGATGAATGTGGCGGTTAAGGCGATCATTAGCCGGCGACGGATCTTCTGCTTGCGCTGCTGCTCCCGGCGCTGCGAAATTAGGTCGAAATCTTGGAACGCCATTGTTAGGGATATGAAATTTTGAAATTATTATTATATATATATGTTTTAGTTTTGAATTGGGGTTTTGATGATCTGTTTGTGTTTGTATATATATATATATATATATATATTTTTTTTTTTTTTAAAAAAAGAAATTATTTGTGTCTACCTTTGGCCAGAACGAGAAGCCAAAGGCAGATAATGAAGGGAGTGGACTTTGTATGAATATAATGAGTGAATGATTTGATAATTGATGGTAAAGTGAGGAGGTGAAAGGTGTGGAGAAATTTTAGGGTTTGGATTTATTAATGGATGGTTAGTAACAAAATAAAATTTGTGTCCCTCAAATATATATATATATTTATTTATTTATTTAATTATAAAATAAATATAATTACTAAAATATAATATGTCTATATACATGTGAGGTGGTGGTAGTGTTGATTATGGATGATAAGTATTGTGTTGATTTTGATTAATTAGTATATTAGTATTTTATTATTATTTTTTTTTGAATAGTTGGAATTAAAACAATGTATGTTGTTGTGCTTATTACTATAATGTATTATCAATTGTGTATACTATAATGCATTTATACTATCTTAATGTTTTTTGAGGTCATTAAGATGATGTTTGATTATTATCATGCACGCCAAGTTCATACCATATATCAAGAACACGACCGCAGAACATAACCATGAAGAGGGACATGAACACGAACAGTAATATGATTGTGTTCAAAATATGGATAGAAATACAGCCGTGAACAATGTCATTAACATAAGCAAAAAAATGATTGTGTTGATAATACAGACAAGAACCCGACCGTGTGCAGAACATAGCCGTAAACAAAGCATTGACACGGCCATGTTTAGTGCAGAATAATCAACACGACTGTATTGGTTGTCTGGGGCGCCCAATCACCTTTATGGCCGTGTTCAAGCCAACACGGCCGTATGAAAAAAAAAAAAAAAAAGTCAATAATAGAATCAAAATTAATAATTGTAATATTGAATGAGATCAAAAATAATTTTATACTATCTTTAAAATATATTTTCGTTGTCTCATAAAAGTGTATTCACTCCTTTTGTATATAAAACATAGCATCTAATATTTATTTATATTATATTAAATACTTTCATTTTTATTTAAAATTTTACTATTTTAAAAAGGCAAAACAACATAAATTTTATACTATCTCCCTCGTTCTTCTTTTTCATTATTCTTCTTCTTCCATTCATTTTTTTTTTAATTTTAAATCCGCTAAACACAACATAAATTTTATCAAATTTATCACACAATTAATTGACCGGACATGGAGATGGAGATGAGAATACGTAAGTTATTATTCACTGTCGATTTCTTCTTCTATTTTACCAAACCAAAAAATACTTCTTCTTCTGTTTTTACCAAACCCAAAAATCTAAAAATTCAATTTGACATAAATCAATCTAAGAAGAAAGAAAGAACTTTGCTGGTAGTTGCAACCGTATACGAAAGAATTAGGGAGAAAAAATAAAGAAAGAAAATTGAGGAAAAAGAGATAGAAAAAGAAAAAAAAATGGAAATGAAGAAGAAAAAAAAAAATTGGAGGAAAATGAAAAAAAAAAAGAAAGAAACGGGTGGAACTGCTATGGCGCTGAAAAAGAATTAGAGAAAGAAGAGAAAAAATTGAGGAAAAGGAAGAATAGAAAGAAGCATGTGGAACTTATATGGCCTGAAAAAGAATTAGAGAAAAAGAAGAAAAAAATTGAGAAAAAAGATGTGTGAAGAAGAATTTGGGGAAGAGAAAAAGATGGAAGAAAAGAGTTGCGAAGAAAGAACAGAAGAGAGAGAAACTACAGGGCCATAACGGTTTGATAAAGGCGATTGTGCAATATTTTACAAAAGGTTTTGTAGAGTTTTAGAACCGGAGGGTTTTCAAGAGATTTGATAAATCACAGGAGGAAGTTTTGCTGTTTTACCTTTTAAAAACTTACATGAAAGAGATGTCATATTTTATATATATATATATAATCAAACTAAACAAAATCTTATTTCTATTAGAAAATTAAAATTAAAATAGGAAACATAAATCAATTAACTACCAGAAGTTACTATCCAAAATCAAAAAAACAAACACATTAAGTGGAAATTTTCCAACTACACACGCACATACATATATATAAAAATTATATATAAATAAATTAATGTATCACAATCGGGCCTGCCAAGCCCGAAATTTTTACCGGGCTCAAACCGCCAGGCCCGCCGTATACCTAACTCCGGTTGACGGCAGCCACGTGTTTCCGATAATGAACTGGCTCACCGTGAAGCTATTCGCCTCGCCGGAGCTATTAAGCACGCGGTACCCCGGCCACTTCACCCGGGCCCCGACGCCCGAGCCCGGCCCATAGTTCATATACTCGCCGTAAAACAGGGTGTCGAGCGCAAAGTTGCCGTTCCACTCGAGCCACCCCTCCGGCCGGACGGCGTCGCCAATGTACGACTGCATGATCACCGTTCGGGAGTACTTTTTCCACGGCCGGCCGAGGTAGGTCGCCGTGGAGTTGACGGGGACATCGGGCTCGGCCGTGATGTTGCAAAATTGGATTGAGAAGCCCGTGTTCTCGACGGGCTCTTTCCGGCCCTGTGCTGTGATGGTGTTTTTCTGGTTCGGAAGGCCTTTCCGGGCCCGGATGTCGCAGTTTTGGAAGACGACGGTGCCATCGCCGAAGATGAAGTCGACGGTGCCGGCGATGCGGCATTCGCGGTAGAATTGACGTTGGGAATGCGCATAGAGGGTGTCCTGGAAACCGGTGATGGCGCATCGGTAGACGACAGAGAGATCGGAGTCCGACCGGAAGGCGACCGCCTGGTGCTTCTCCGGGCCCGAAGTGTTCTCGAAGGTTATGTCTCGGGCTATGAATCCCTGACCTTTAACAGCTGCATTTGATTCCCAAACAAATCATCACTGTTAAATATATTATCAATAATTATTTTAAAAAAATATAATATAAAATATATTTTTATCTCACAAAATATCACATTTAAACATTATTTCCGAACCTCACCTTCAAATTCAAACATAAAATATAAAATAAAATTAGTAAAAATAAAATACGTATAATTAGGATACAAATAGCCATGGTGACAGTGAAGATGCAATGTATTATACAAAGTGTAGTTTCCTTAAAATAATTCAAAACATTACTTCTAAACTACATTTTAGATACAAATTATTACATTTATTTATTTAATATTTTGCATTTATAAATTAAAACCTTTTTTTTTTAGATCGACTAAATCCTATACCAAGTGTAATTCTAATTCTATATTTAAAGAAGTTCTAAAAACAAGCTCAAATAATTTTTCAATAAAATTCTAAATTCCTGTCACAAAATCCTAATAGCATATCCATTTCTAAGACAATAAAAATAAAAATCCTTTCAATGAAAGTCAAGAGCTCGAGCTCATTCGTAAGCATAGATCCATCGGTCTCTTTGTCCTAAATAATTAAAAAGAACGATATTTTTGTAATAAACAAGAAGCCCAGCCCACATGGTTAGATGCAAGACAAGGCATATAGAGTGAGCATTGCATTGACTTATAAAAAGACACACTAAAACAGTCGAAACCAACACACATAAATAAATGATCAAGACGCCATGATCAGACAGACATTTCTCACACTTAAATGATGAACACGCCATTATCAGACAGACATTTCTCATGTGCTATACTGCAACTGTAAGTCCACTTACAATAATGTCCCACGCCAATATATATATATATATATATATAGTAATAATCAATTCTCTATACCCTCCCTCCCTTTGGCCCCCACCCCAGTCTTATTTATTTATTCTTTTAAATAGGAATCTACAGACCGAATCTAATATCTTGCAAATTAGGTCCGACAAGAAAGTTACACTAGGCAACCATGTGTGCACCTGAGGCGTCGAAGGTTTGAACCCATGACCTCACGGTCACAAATCCAATTCCTACACCATCAGATCATCCCTCGCGGGACTCAACCCAATCTTATCTTTTCTTTACCAAGATTCGATTTATTTATGATCCAATTCAAAGGTCCCCAACTCCAACCTACACCAATTAATTCCCCACACATATATATCTCCATAATAAATAAGACCAAAGAATCACATCTATTCACTAATTGCAACGGCAGTTACGGTGCTGATTGTCAGTACACGAAATATAAGTCGACAATATAAGATGTCTTTTAGTATACTTCTTCCGTCCACAAACTAATATCCTATTTTTCTATTTGGAACGTCTAACAATTATTGTCATAAATACAAATTTTATTTGTTATCCTTCATTCATTTACTACTTTTAAATCTTATCAGGGTAAAATTTATCGATTCATAACAAAATAAAAAAAAAATAATTACCTAAAAAACCGTGCAAAGATATTTTAGAATAATAAGAATTGAATGGAGAAATCAGTAATATAAATACCACAAATGAATTGACAATACATGACAATAGTCCACATAACACATACTATAAATAATCTCACCAGACAAAGTATATAACAGAACATACAATACACCGTAACAACTTACACGTCAAATGTTGTATTAATTCAAGTTATGTATTATTAGTTTATATTTCATATATTGATTACTATCGACTCGTCCGCTAACAATAGACACATTTTTTTCATTCATGACATTCACAAATAATAAATACGTTTCCTCATTAGATAATTATGGACACCACAATATTTGATAAAATATCCTATCTATGTTCAAACAGCAAACATATGTTTCTTTATCAGGATTACCGCAGATCTTCACATGGATTGTCTAGTGTAAAATCTAAAGAGACCATAATTAAAAATTTGCAAGAGGGCGTGTAGCTAATGCTTACCAAATGTAGCTGATCGATATGTCGTCCAGCCATCGACAAAATTACGATTACCAGAAATAACCGTAGCATCCACTCCGTCCCCGATCATCATTATATTCCATTTCTTCTTACTAATCTCCACATATTCCTTATAAACCCCTCTTTTGATGTAAATAACGTATCGTCTGCTGCTATACTCAGGAGCTGCAAGAACAGCATCTTTTATAGTCGAGAAATTCCCCGATCCATCCAAGGCGACAACGGCATCAGCCATGGCGCCATTCGCCGCCTGCAAGAGCTTCCTGTCCCCTGATTTCACCCATTCAGGGAACTCATGATCACCTGCACCAAGTTTCCGGCCGCCTGAGCGCCCCCTGCCACCGCCGGCAGGGGGACCTTTCGCCGGATTGTTTCCGGAATTAGGCCTAATGTTGGAAAGGATTTGGTAGACTAATGTTGTGACCTGTTCCAGGCTGCCGGAAATTAGGCCTTCTACGAAGCTGTGTGTTCCATCGAAACCTTCTTTGCAAGTGTCCTGATTTATCAGTGCTCCGCTCAGCCATGTTTTCATGTCGGCACCAACATTTCCTGTGCTATTATCTCTACCTACAGTCAGTCATCCATCGCAATCAACATCAACTTGCTAATCCATGGCTGTTTCCGATTAACTAAGGTAAAAAGGAAGTAATCATTGCAATTCCATAGCTATTTTCAATGAACTGTGTTGAAAATTAACTAAAAACGAGTTTCGACAGGGGAAATTTGAAGAGGTTTGAATCGACCGCAATCGACATCAAACTTGCTATTCTGTAGCTATTTCCGATGAACTAAGCTAAAAAAAGGAACTAATCATTGCAATTCCATAGCTATTTCTAATGAACTGTGTCGAAAATGAAGTAAAACGAATTTCAACAGGGGAAATTTGAACAGCAGTTTACGGATAATTGATTGAATCGACTGGTTCAAATTCAACTACTGTTTTTCCCCAAATATCTCTTCACTGAAAAGGACCAAGCACGGATTAAAGGCCTAAATCCGCGTGCACAGTGTTTTTGTGTTATTGCGGAAATTTTAAGCTAAAGCAAAAGGGGAAAAAATTAGGGCAAAAAAGGAACCATACCCTTGGGATTCTGCGAGACGGAGAGAGTCCAGCTCAACTGGTCGATCGAAAGGTCCATCAAATCGAGGCAATCGGAAACGGCATTACTCAGGCGGAAATCACCGAAAACGCCGGCGTATTGAGACACCATGGAGATGACGTCTCGCATTATGCCAATCGTCATTCTGACCGAATCTACAAATTCCGACGCCGGAACCTTCAAGCTCAACGTCGTATCGCCGGAATCGTACCGCCGAGCACTGGCACCACACAGAAAAGCTGCTAAAAGTAGAAATTTCAACAAAGCGGACGCCATGGCAGCAAAATACCTCAAAAAATTAGGTATCCGAAGTGGAAATCGAAGAATCTCAGTGCATGCACGAAATTGAGGGCGGCGAATATGGAAATTGCATGGAGATGGAATTCATTAAATTGGAAACGTGGTGGAGATCGGGGAGCAATGGAGGAGGAGTGAGAGGTGGGCGGCAGGTGGGAGAGAGTATTTATGGAGGAAAGAAGGAAGAAATGTCTTCCTTCTGCATGGACTACTGCAAATCTCACTGCATATATATATATATATATGTATGTATGTGTGTATATATTCCGAATTTCGAAAAATGGTAAGGCCGCGTTTGGATGCATGAATATGAAAAAGCCTATTTTTTTTTTGGTAGGGTTTTGGTTGTGCGTGCCAGCGGGTGATGCAGTTTACGAGTATGTATAGTTGAATTAAGAATTAATATTTTTAGAAATGAATAAATAAGTAAATTTAGCTCTATTTTTTATATAATTTTTTTATCATTCATTCCAAAATATTTTTTTAAATAATACTTTTTGGATTTGCATTTGCCTTTTGCGTTACTTAACATTAAAAATATTTTTATATTTGTATAAACTTTTTTTTGTCTAAATGTCTTTCTATTAGTACTATACATTAATGGAAGTATTTTTATAATTTTTTAATTTAAGCTATATTTTGATATAATAATTAATATTCAAATATTAACACACAAAAATTAAATAGAATCATTAGAGCCGAACAAAGGCAGTATCAAAGCATAACATATAATTTTTATAAAAAATATTATGTAAAAATATTTATTTATTATTTTTAATTTTTTTTTAAAAAAAGAAATATTAAAAATGATATTGAAAATTATACTATTTTTAATATGATACTGTTGACCTAAATAATCTATTAAATCTATTTAATTTTTTATTAAACCAATTTATCCACACATAATAGTTAGACAAGCAACGGCCAACTATGAAGGCATTACAAATAGATAGTACTCCTACATTATTTGTATTATTAATAAAATATAAATACAATATATGAAATAATAGCCTACATAAATAATAGTTAATATATTGCATATTACAATTACTTAACATAATATATATTTATATAATACATTCTAGAAATATAAACAGAGCATATATATATCTTACTTCATTGTCTATTTACTATGAATACAAGAATTTATTTAAAATATAATTAATACGTAATTAAAAATATATTAGTAAAAATTATTATTGTATAATAAAAATAATTATAGATTAATTTAATATAATTAAATAGTTTAATTAAGATTTAGAAAATTTATAGATTGTAAACTTTAAACGTGATTAAAATGTATAATTATATTTTTCAAAAAAGTAAAAAATTATGTGGTACGGACCAAAATAAAAAATTGTGAATAATTATGTATGAATGTGAAATTGAGTATATTATATTCTTTTTTATTGGTAACGTAAAAATCCGCAGCTGCTATTCGAAAATACGTAGTCAGTAAACTCCCGGTCGAACCTAATAGCCTGCAATATACTCCCTTCATCATGCAAATCTGTGCTTTTTTGACCGGATACGGAAATTAATAAAAATGAGTAATAATTATTATTTTTTACTTTTATAGTAACAAAAGTATAAAAATATAATAATTATTTACTTAAAAGGAAAAAAAAAAAATTTTATGACAATAAAAAAAAAAAAAAAAAAAAAACATAAATTTGTTATTTAAAAATATATATTGTGCGTCCATTATGCAACGAGTCCCCTTTAAAATCATAAACATACTTTTAAAATATATCTTGAATGAATATATATATATATATATAAAGATTGAATATTATACTATAATATAATACTCCCTCCGTCACATATAATATGGGTGTATTACTGTAGACACGACAATTTAGGTAAAATATAATTAGTAAGTAATTAAGAAGTGTATTAGAAAAAATAATTATTATTTAGTAAAAATAATTATAGATTAAGACTAAGATAAGTAAATAGTTTAATTAAAATTAAAAAAGTTATAAAATTTAAAATGCGATTAAAATATATAATTATATTTCTAAAAATAGAAAGGATAAATTATGTGGGACAGAAGAAAATAAAAAATAAGAACAAATTATGTGGGACGACGACAATAAATATATATGTATGGATGCATTGAGTGGATAGAGCATTGAATGGCAGCATTTAATTTTGTATTGTGACAGTAAACAGTTAGCAGCTGCATGCCCACTTCATATATCTCCATATCTATTTATTTTGGATTTTTTGGTGTCTTTATTTCCTTTGTGTTGGATATATTTTGGACTTTTTGGTGTCTATATTTTCTGTGTTGTATATATATTAGGTATAGCAAACCGTATTGACAATATAAAAAATAATTAGTGTATTTATTTTAAACAAAATATTTATTTATTTTTAAAAAAGGATTTCTTTTTTTTGTCTCAAAATTGCACGAGATTTAAAAAATATTGATATTATATTGATAGTGGGTAAAAAGTACGAGTAAAAAATCTTTTTGCCCTTGTGAGTGTATTAGTGTAAAAAACAGTGACAATTGTATAATAATAATAATAATAAAGTAAAAGTAATTTTACAGTGATACATATATTTATTATTTTTATATTATTTATATAATTTCTTATACATCACCTAAAAAGTATATATACATATTCTAACACAAAACAGACACCCATTTTAAATAAAATTGGTAATTCCTTTTGTGAATAAGTAATATATATATATATTATATTGTATTACTATGTATATATATTATATTTTTATAATATTTATGAAATATTGTATTATTAAACATACAAAAATGAACATGTTTTATATATACATTGTTTTTATATATTTTAAATAAATGATAATTATACATAACATTTTATTAAAAAAACAAGTATTCAATATAATGTTATTTGCAAAATTAATAGCTTGAATAGTAAAAATATACCTTTTAGTTGTCATTCAGATTTACACTCATGTATTTTGTATAGGTTGTCATAAAAACAATTAAAATAAAATAAAATTCTTAATTTTTTATAAAATAAGTTTTCGGTTTTTTTTTTTTAAAAAACAATTATTATCTAGTTTTAGCAAAACAATATCTGTCTAGGTTTCAATTATTTTATACGAAACTCCTGTAATTTTATATAATATAGATTATTTTTCTTGTAAAATTATACTTCCTCCGTCCCACATGTGTCTGTTACACTGTAGACACAGTATTTTAGAATGAGTATAATTAGTCGATAATTAAGAATGCATTAGTAAAAATAATTATCCTATAATATAAATAATTATAAATTAAGATTAAGAAAACTAATTAATTTAATTAAAATTTTTAAAAATAAATTTAAAAATTTAAAATGAGATTAAAGTGTGTAATTATTTTCCAAAAAAAGAAAGTGACATGGTACGTGGGACGGACAGAAACGGCATCGTGGACATGATATGTGGGATGAATGGAGTATTTAAATTGTTGTTTAAATAAAAATCTAAAAAAATCACCAATAGTATCGGGACCTTCTATAGTACTAAAAGACAATTCAAATTATAGGAGTATAAAATAATAATAATAATAATAATAATAATAATAATAATAATAATAATGGATGTTTTATACCTTAATAGAAAAATAAAGAAACCTTTTATATTACTAAAAGACAATTTCAATTTATATAAAATAACAATAATAATTGAAAATTTATACCTTAATACTCCTTCCGTCCCATATATCATGTTCATGTTTCCGTTTTTGTTTTTGTCCGTCCCACATACTATGTCACTTTCCTTTTTTGGAAAATGATTACACACTTTAATCTCATTTTAAACTTTTTAATTTTTTTTAAATTTTAATTAAACTAATTAGTTATCTTAATCTTAATTCATAATTATTTATATTATAGGATAATTATTTTCACTAATACATTCTTAATTATCTACTAATTACACTCCTCCTACAATACTGTATTTACGGTGTAGCAGATACGGTATGTGGAAAGAAAGTAGTAATATAAAGAAAGAAAGCAAAAATAAAAAGATAATTTTGTGCCTAATAAATAAATATTAAAATATCAGTTAAATCCCCACTACTTAAAATAATTTGCTGACAATATAATTTTTATTCATTGATAGTGAAAATGTCCTAAAATTGTATACATTTATTTGATCATGCACCCATTACTTAGATGGAATTATTTATTAATCAAAGATCAAATAGTAATAATTATTATTATTACATTTATTATTATTATTTAAAAAAAAAAAAAAAAAACCATACACTCACATGTACATAAAAATGCATCTATGTGATCAATAAAATGTTCGATTTAGCTTTTGTTGGGCATTTTTGTCTCGATCGGGCATGGCTGAGGGCTAATGATTGATAATAATTTCAAGGTAAAATTACAAATTAATTAATATAAATAGATTTATACTTCCTCCATCCACAAACTAATATTTTATTTTTTTATTTGGGACGTTCAATAACTATTGTTTTTTTTTTTAAAACATAAATTTTACTTTTTTACTCTTCATTTATTTATCACTTTTAATATTTATTTATCATAAAGGATAAATTTGTTCATTCATACTAAAAAGAATTACCTAAAAAAATCGTGCAAATATATTTTAGGATAATTATAAATGGGTATTCTGTGTATCGTATTTTAAATAATGGAACATGTTAGAGAGTGTTGAATATAGAAATCAGACGACCAATTAATTTCCACACATCAAATATATATATATATAGTTTAACATTACATGCTAATAATTTATAATCACTCTGTCCTTTTGAAAACAAGTTTTTTAAAATTTTGTAGTAAATTAAAAAATAATATTAATATTTTATTGATTAGTGAAAGTGTGTAAGAAATTTTGACATTTTTGCCCTTTAAATTTATGAGAAAAATAATTGTATGTATAATGATATATTTGTAATTTTTAAATATATATTAATGACATTTTGATATTAATGTATAATTATGTTTACTAAAAAAAATGAATAATTTTGAGTAGAACAAATAAAAATAATAAAAAAAAAATATTTTGAATTATGACAGATGGAGTATTGTTTAATATGTATGAACATATGATCTCACAGTTACTAATTCAATGACGTCACCGATACTATTTGATAGACATGAAATCATGTGAGATTTACGACGGTGATCACGTTGCATGCAGGCAGGGTTGTCTTATTCGGAATTATCAATATAATAATGTAATGCGACACGTCAGCTCG